CTATTCACTGAGCTGAAATATCCTGGCTTAGGAGGCAGAATATAAACTAAGCTTGAGTTTCTGAGTCAGAAAACAAAACAAAGAGTATAGCCGAGGCTCACACGCACAAGTGGCTGAGAGGAAAATACATTACGATCCAGAGTCACAGCTGCCAAGAATTTTTTTTTCTTGCAACTTGGAAACAGCATCCCTTTTCTGCCGCACCCACCTTTCCTCTCGTCTGGCTCAAGCTGGAAGGTTGTTGGATGTGCATCAAAAACTACAGAACCCAGAAGCTGCCAAGATGATTTTTGGCTGCAGCAGTCTCAGAGGAAATTTCCTGGAATGAGTTAAAGTGTCCAGATCTTAAAGCAGCACAATTTTTTAAAAGCCTAGCTATAATTTATTTACCAACAGACATGTATTGGGATGTCCATAGCACCTTCGTAATTACCCAGAAGCAAATTCACCCAATTGACCATCTATAGTGGGATAAATGGAGGGCAATTCAGCAGTGAGAATGCACAATTTAGATGTGCACACAGAAAGACAGGAGCCTCACCAACAGAATACTGAGCTAAAGGAGCCAGGCATGAGAGTGCACACTGTGTGTTTCCAATGGATATAAAGGAAACAGACATGGCCAAATGCTTCAAAGTGATATGTAAACCACCGGCAAGGGTTACCCAGGGGAGTGGGATTCATATACACATGAAGAAAACGTAAGGCTGCGTCCAGTGGGACGGTGGTAAAGTTTCTGTTTTTGATCTGGGAGCTGATTACAGTGGGGGTGCTTGCGCAGCTCATTAAGCTATACATTTACGATATGGGCAGTTTTATAAATGGATCAGTGCAACGGTATGAATGTGCCCTCCAAAAAGTTCATGTGTTGGAAACTGAATCCCCAAATGTATAATGTATACATTCACGGCATTTGGAGGAGGCGCCTTGGGGAGGTGACCAGGATTAGATGAGGCCGTGAGGGTGTGTTTCCCACGGTGACTTTAGGAACTTTCGAAGAGAGGGAAACCCAAGCCAGCCTCCTTGCTCAGCCTTCCCATGTGATGCCCTCTGCCATGTTTTCATAACCTCACCAGAAGCTGAGTATGTGCAGGGCTGGGGTCTTGGACTTCTCCACTCCAGAAGTGAGTCAGATGAATGACCTGGCCTTGGGAATTCTGTTACAGCAACAGAGAACTGGGACAGATAGGATGTGTCAGTGACAATACCTGGCAAGTGTTCACCTTCAGCAGTAGTGTGGCAAGGGCATCCTGTGTGGCAACACACTACTGAGGGAAGGACCACAGGGCAGCTACTTCTTAGCCTCGGAGCCAAGGAAATGCATGGCTCAGAAGATAAAATTCCAAGGAGCAGGGAAATGCTGTTGTCAGATGAGGGCTCAGGAGAGGTCTTTGGTGTTATCAACCTGAAGGTTAATGTCAAAAACAAGAGCAATTTTGATGCATGGTGTGGAAGAAGAAGGGCAACCATAGCCTCCAACGGACAGAAAACTAGAAGAAATTATTTCAACCACCTTTTTCGTGTTCAGCACACAGCATGGTGAGGCAAACCTGACCTGTCTCTCTAACGTTCTGTTCAGTTGGCCTCTTAGCTTGTACAGGTTTGTGTTCTAATTCTAAATTTGGACCTATCTCTCCAGGCTTTTCTCCCCATCTAGAAAAGGCTTTTGCAGCCGGGGAGACTGCATAGGAGGAATATACAAAGCTGAGTTCTGCTGGTTCTGTCAGTCTCAGGGAGCCAGCCCTGTGTCCACAGTGGACAGCAGATGGGAGTGTGGTGCCACAAGTCTCCTGCAGGTCTGTCTTTTGTTTCTCTGTGCCCTTCACTGGCTGTGCAGCTGTCCTGGGCTGGAGCCAGAGAAGCAGCACTAGTCACTGTAGGGTCCTCCCTTCAGCCCTGTGCCAAATGGGGATCGAGGATCGAATCCCCATTCTCCAAAGGTTGCTCTTCCTGTTGATCCAAAGTGAATCCTGTCACCCTGACAGCATTAATTCATAACCTACCTGCCCACCCCCAGCCCTGGCACACACACACACGGGCCGTGGGTAGGGGAGAGTCATTGTTTGCTGCTGTAATACTGTCTCTACAAGGTTTATCCTTCCATGAGACCATCTGGGTTTTGCCAATAGAAGTGCCTGAACTTCACCCTGTGGTTTGTGATTCTGCTTCTTGTTACAAACTGTGTCATGTTCGAGGAAAAAAGCAAATTATGGAAAAATGCCCGAATTTCCAAATAGTTGGGTACAAAAATAAACCCTGTTTTCAGGTGTTTACTTATTTTTGTGCTTTTGTTTGAAAGGTAGAGAGACAAGGACAGAGATCTTGCATCTTCTGCTTCATTTCTGCCAAATACCTGCCCCAGCTGAGGCTGGGCCAGGTTACAGTGGGTGACACCGTCACAAGAATCGCCTGGCTCCTGGAGGTGAGACACATAGACAAGCATGTGCTGTTGGTGCTGGAACTCATGGGACTGGGTGCCAGCACTAAGTGTTGGAGCAGGGCAACCCGGGGGGGGGGGGGAAGGGATGAGGTCAGGTTCAACCAGACCCTGGCAGTGGTGTCCTACTGCCATGCACACAGGGCAGCACAGGGACCTGAAGCTAGACAACCTGCTGTTGGGCTTGCATGTGGACCTCCAATCGCCTGACCTTGGCCTTGGCAGCTGTTGCTGGTGGTGAGTGGCTTTTGCAGTACTCCAGATTCCTGGGCCCTGGAGGCCTTCCTGCAGCACTACGATGCCTCACAACAGGTCGCCAGCCTTCTGGGGGTGGGAGGACAAGGATGAGGGGCAGGGCTGTGCTCTGTGTGGTTGCTAGGTGCTGTCATATCCTGTCTGCCCAGCCCGGACGGAGCTCCTGGCACAGCTGCTAACCACAGACGCCTGGGAGTGGCCCTTGGCGGAGCTGGTGAGGACCCACCAGGTGGTATAGCCACTGCCAGGAAGCAGCTGAGGAGCATGAAATCACCTTTGTGAAGTTCCTGGTGTTCCAGCCACACCTCTCTGGAGTCTTTAAAAAGGAGCTGTATTAAAAGGTTGCTCTAGAGAACACTGATTTTCCGCTTTTGACTCTTTCAACATCCCCCACCTACAAGCATGATGATATGAATTACAAAGCCAATAGTCACATTTAGAAATCTCACACTTCAGCTTTTCTCTAAAACTCTCTGGAAGAAACACTGACACTCCTTTAACCCGCTCTTTTGTGTGTCTGAAGTTATCATTGTCTTTGCCAAATGTGAAAACACAACTGGAAGAAACGAGTGTGAAGGGCTGGTGCTGTAAAGACAGCGACCCCTCCCCTGCCCCACCTCGGATGCCAACATCCACATAGGCGCTTATTGGGGTGTTGGGGTTCCGGCCACCCCTCTCAATCCCAACTTACCACTGATAGGCCTGGGAAAACAGCAGAAGAAGGCCCAAGTACTTAGTCTTCTGAATGGAGTTCTAAGTCATTGACTTCAGTTGGCCCAGCCCTGGCACCCGTGGCCATTTGAGGAGTGAACCAGCAGATGGAAGATTTCTCTCTCTCTCTCTCTCACTCTCGCTCTTTCCTCTAATTAAATAAATACTTTTCACAAATTAAAAAAAAATGTGTGAATTGTATTTTGGAGGTATTTTATAATTTAACCAGTAGGTATGCATAGTAGACAGGAAAAAAAATTTTAAGGTTTATTTATTTATTTGAAAGTCAGGGCTCTAGGGAGAGAGACAGAAAGACAGATCTTCCATCACTGATTCACAGATGGTTGCAATAGTTCAGGTTAAGCTAAGGGGAAGCCAGGAGTTTGATCCAGGTCTCCCATGCGGGTAGAAGGGGCCAAGCCCTTGGGCCATCTTCTGCTACTTTTCCCAGGCCATAAGCAGGAAATATTGCATGTGGTGTCTTAATTTGTTATGCAACAATGCCGGCCCGTGAGCATTCGAATTCTTATCTCCAGCCTGGTCCAGCTTTCTCCATGAAGTTAAAAATACATCCAACTGTTCACTCAAGATCTCCACTCAGGTGGAAAAAGGCATCTCACACTAAACATGTGAAACATGGGGTCCCTGAGTTAATCATCCCTCTCCACAGCCCCGGTTTTTTCCACAACTGCTCCATCTCAGTTAGGTTACAGTCTCCAAAAACACAAAGTTAATCCTGACTCCCTTTCTCTCAGACTCAGTAGCTCTGCCTGCCAATTTTACCCTGAATCTGATCACTTCTTAGCAATGCTGCTGCTGACACACTGGACCAAGCCACCATCATTTGTGCCCTCAGAATTATTCATGCAGCTTCCCTCTTTGTGTTCTTAGAGTCTGATTTCTTAAAGCAATTACCAGTAACACTCTCAAAACAGAAAGGACCTGCTAATGCAACAAAGCAAGAGGGAAGTAGGAGGGATGATTTTTGAAATTTATTTTCTTTCCTCTGCTTCATGTCTCATGTCTCACACCAACACATCCTCAATCTATCTTCCATGCTGCTGCTGCTAATTCTTTCTAAAAGGCAAGTCCTGTACCATTTCACCCCCTTCAGGGTAAGCCCCAAGCCCTTGCTCACCACAGGCAGCATTCCTTCAACTGCAGTCCTTTGCCTTCCTTCTCCTTCACCTCCCAGGTAATCCACATGCCCTCACCTTATTAACTGCCTGGAGTTACCAGCCAGGGAAATTTCCAGGGAGAAGAGACAGAAAACGTTTCTGGAGAGACAATGCACATTTTTTTTGAGGCCTAATTCAGCATGATTAGTTTTGCTGAGTGAAACTTTGGTTGTATCTCGTTTCTAAACTCTGGCTAACACACACACACACACACACACACACACACACACACACACACACACACACACACAAATGCAAATATGAAAACTACCACAATGATACCAAGAAAAGCCATTGCAATGACAATGCCAACTAGTACACCATGAATGTGCACACTACAACAAGCACAGGGCAAAGGCCTTCCCGTGTGTCCACTCATGTCATCTTTTCAACTACTCTGCAAAGCACAGGGACTTTACCTTAGGTGAGCAGCACAGGTGGGCTAATTTCTCCTCATCCTGAAAATGCCAGGGGATTTCAAAAGGTCTGTGACAAAGAGAGAGAGAGAGAAAGGGAGAGAGAGAGGGAGGGACAGAGAGAAAGAGAGAGAGAGAGAGAGAAAAGGTAAGTTTGTTTTAATACAAAAAGTTTGAAATCTTAGAAATCTTCTCATAAGTATGCATTTTCCATGAATTGTTGAAGACTTCTCAATAATATACTATTTCTTTAAAAAAAATGTTATAATCTTTTTCATCTTTTTAAAAAAGAGCTTATTTATTTTTATTGGAAAGTTAGGTATACGGAGAGGAGGAAACACAGAGAGGAAGATCTTGGGTCCATTAATCCACTCTCCAAGTGAGCACAACGGCTGGAGCTGTGCCAATCCAAAGCCAGGAGTCCGGAGCCTCTTCCTGATCTCCCATGCAGGTGCAGGGTCCCACAGCTTTGGGCCGTCCCCCGTTGTTTTCCCAGGCCACAAGCAGGGAGCTGGATGGAAAGCTTGGCCTCTGGGACACGACCCAGTGCCCATATGGGATCCCAGAATGTGCAAAGTGAAGACTTCAACTGCTAGGCTACAACACTGGGCCCCATCTTTTTTATCTTTAATGAGATTTCTTTTTATAAATAAGGTCTAATATTATCTTTTATAGATTTAGTGGGATGTCTCTTTTTAAAACCATTCACAATCGATGCTCGGATATAAGTAACACTCCTCTTATTTGTGAATTGCTCATTTTGTATACTCTCTCTTTAGAGGTCAGTAGTATCTTAGAATTTCTACAGTCTATCCATCTTTTGAGTCATCTGATGATAAGTTAAGGGATTTACTGAAAATGCCTTTTTATGAACATAAATGGCATATATCATTTATATGGATTTATATGAATTCCTGACAATCAGTAATGTAAGATCATAACAATGATATTTTTTACTAAAACAATGTCCTGTCTCCATTCTAGGTAAAAAAAAGTATCATTTGTTTGTGAGTATTATTTGGTTAAATCAATGTTTTTGTATCATATTTGTCATCTAAGTTTGCTAACCTCAAAAAAAAAAAAAATGTTCGCGGGCCTGGCAGCATGGCCTAGCAGCTAAAGTCCTCCCTCACCTTGAACACGCCAGGATCCCATGGGGCGCCGGTTCTAATCCCTGGCAGCTCCACTTCCCATCCAGCTCCCTGCTTGTGGCCTAGGAAAGCAGTGGAGGATGGCCCTAAGCTTTGGACCCTGCACTCGTGCGGGAGACCCGGAAGAAGTTTCTGGTTCCCGGCTTCAGATCAGCACAGCACCAGCTGCTGCGCTCACTTGGGGAGTGAATCATCGGACGGAAGATTTTCCTCTGTCTCTCCTTCTCTCTGCATATCTGACTTTGTAATAAAAAATAGATAAATCTTTAAAAAACTGCCTGCAAATATTGATTAAGTTAGATTCTTCGGCTCTATGAAATTAATAATACTACTGTTAATAATGGCAGCTAATATGTAACAAAGGCACATGTAAGGTATCATATTTCATAATTAATGACATTTTTGTTTTATTTTGCTTTCCTTTGGCTTGTAGGAGACAACACCACAATACCTGCCCTGTTTTCCTACAACTGGTGCCAGATGTAATTGTTAGATCACTTTTGTTAAAGAGAATTGAACTGTAGCAACATGCGCAATCTATCATCTCTCCCACATAATTCTTAAATGTTCATTTTCTCCTCTAGAAATCATTTCTGTTCTGAACCTAAACATATTGAACTTTCTCTTGTCCTAAAACACAAAAACACTAACAAAAATACTTTCTCAATGTGCACGCCTCCCTAGCTATCTCTTTTCTGTTTCTTCTGACACTGGCCAGGTTTCTTGACCAAGTGGCTATGGGCCTCCGCCCTGCCTTCCATTGCTTAATTCCTTCCCCTCTGGATTCCACCTTCAACCAAACCACCGCTTTCCTCACTTCCACCCCATTGCCAAATCAAAGGAGAATTTTGCCCTTTTATTTTATTTCTAGTTTATTTTAGAGCCTCTTCCTCCAGCCCTTTTATAAAGGCACTTCCCCAGCTTCCAACTTGACCTCGCTCTTGCACACACAGGTGCGTTTCTCTGGAGTCACAGTTTCACATCGTGTGATGTTCCCTGGTCTACCGGACACTTTTCCACAGTCATGAACTGAAACACCCACGAGATTCATGGACATCTCTGCTCTGACTCCGTTATTTCCTGAATTCCTTATATTTAGAATGAGACATGGTATCTTCCCTGTTTTTAAATCTTTTCCTCTTGATTCTTACTACTTAGTCTATGTCAAGACTCCCTGGACTATTTTAAACTTTCCCTAACTCTCAAGCCTTTGTTCGCTCAATTCATACTGTTACTAGTATTCTTGACACGAACCTGGCCATGCAGGTTATTCATTTGCTTAAACGCCTTCAGGAGTGTCCCCATCGGCGGTCAAGATGACAGGTCTGTCTTGTTTGTAAGGACTTTGGGGATCCGATCTCGCTCCCATCTCTCCAGTTCCAACCCTGAGACCTCGCAGGAGGGCAGGCATCCCCCATCCTCACCCACCCAGAGAGGCCAGAGGGTCCCAGATTTGAACCGCAAGCCGCCTCTCCACATTCCTATTATCGTGGAATTTTCCCATTCTAGTTCCTAAGATGGGCAAATGTTAATTCCTTTTTTAATTTTTGAAGCTTGGAAATGTGCTTAAATAGGATTGCAAACGGACAGAAACGAGCTCATTTGAACTGGAATGCCACATGGCACTGGAAACAAGATCGTACTTCAAGGGTTTCAACATAGCGAACTGCCAACGACCTTAACACTGAAAAGCTGGGAGAGGAAAAAAAGTTCATAGTGCCTCCCCGTCGGGGAATCGAACCCCGGTCTCCCGCGTGACAGGCGGGGATACTCACCACTATACTAACGAGGAGCTGCACGACAATTTCCCGTCTGACAAACCCTTTACATCTTCTAGGCCCGCCTCCCGGCCTCAACATTCAAATTACTACAGAATCTGCCGGTCCTGTTGCCAGCGCCGTTTTCATTAAAGTTCAAACAAGCGAGTGTTCCATTTCCTTTCCCCGCTGTATCCCTCACCATGTCTCACAACCTCTCCTCCTCTAAGTGTCCCCCACTTTCTCGGCCTTTTCCTTCGTCTCTCCCGCCAGGAACCGACAGCGTTCCCCTCACGGCCCTCGGCACACTCGCTCCCAGGCAGCCAAGCGCACGCCTCGCCGCGCTGCACCACGGGACTTGTAGTTCCGCCCTCGCTGCCCCCACGCTCCTCTGATTCGAGGAAACTCGCTTTCCCGGCGTGCACCGCGAGCCACTCCTCCTCTTTTTTCTCCGTCCCCGCCCGGCCTTCGGACTCTCAGTCGGAGTGTCGGCAGCCGAGTGTGGGTGAGCGGCGGCATCCCTCAGAGCCATGCCCGAGATTGTGGATTCCTGTTCTCTGGCCTCTCCGGCCTTCGTCTGCCGGACCAAGCACCTGCACCTGCGCTGCAGCGTGGACTTCACTCGCCGGGCTGTGACTGGCATCGCGGCGCTCACAGTCCAGTCTCAGGAGGACAATCTGCGCAGCCTGGTACGGTGCGCGCCCAGTGCCCGCCTTCCCCCGGCCCCTCCGCGGGAGCCAGGTCCTCGGCTCTCCGCAGCCCGCCAAGCCGCGCATCCACACCTCCGCTTCAGCCGCAGCTCTCGGCGTTCCCTGCAGTCCCCTACCCGCCCCGGAGCGGCCGCTCTGCAACCCCACGGCCGCCCCTGCTCGCGTTCCCCCTGGTGTCTCCTTGGATTCTGTTCCGGATCCCAGGGCTCACCTAGCGCTGCGTCCACACACCTCCGCGCCCAGCCCCGGGTTTCATCTTTCTACACTCTTGCTCCCTCCCCCTACAGTTCTCCCCTTTTGCTCGGCCTTCAGCCCAGACCTCCCCCCGTCCTCAAGCCCCGGACTTCTCCCCGCCCTGGCGCTCCTTCCTCGGTGCACGAGCTCGGATCCTGGGATACCCTGGGGTATCTGACCCCACGCCTCCCTCGCTCCCCCGCAGGTCCTCGGGATCCCGCCCGCTTGCTCGGTTCCGTCCATCTCCCTGCCCACTGGAGCCGAAGCCCTTCTGCAATTCCAGCGCCAGATTCCTCCCCTCTGCCCTGCCCGCTTCCAACCGCTGCTTTTAAACTCTGGGAGCAGCTGTTGGTCTACGGGTCCTTCCAAGCGCTTGATCCTTACAATTCCCCGTGACTGACTGGGTGGGACATTCAGGCTTCCTTAGCATGATTCAAGCATACGGTTTATCTCTCAGTCGTTGCTTCCAGGGAGCGGGTAATTTTGAGGAATCTGAGCTGTCTTACCCTTTACCCAAAGATGTGCTTACGTTCGTGGAATGTTGTCCAGCGATTTTGTCTGCCCTGCATAACCTATATTCCGTGTTCTTATGAAATGATAGTGTTTGGATTGTGGCATTTAGCTGGACAATGTCCTGGAAGAGCATTTTAGAAACGAGAGGGACAAGGAAAGAACAGCTGGGGCTTCTCACCAGGGCCGGATGATACAGTTAATTTTGCACAGGGTTTCTGTCCGTTAAAGCAATCAACTTAGGGACGTTGTAAACTGGAGTGGGGAAATTAGCAAGGTCAGATAATTGGGCGAAATTACCAGTGTAGCCTTAATAGTTTTTGGTCTTCTTTTCCCCACTTGGTTAGTGGGTCTGTATTTTGAGGTCTTTCTTGTGAATGGGTAAAAGCACTTTCTTTCTTGCTCTTTGTGCTGTAACATTTTACTAATGAATTTGAACTATACAAAGGACCACTGCTCATGTGTATGTGTGTGATACATAGTTACCAGGAGTCCTGTAAGAAAGGAAAAGCGTGTTGAGAGCAAGAGCAGAAGTATTTCCTTGTAGGCTGCACTTTGGTCTTTAAGTACCACGCTATCTTATTAAATCAAAGGCGGCTTGACTTGGGTTGGGCTGAGGTCAAGTTCTGTTTCAGTTCAGTCTCTCCTTTTATGAAAAGAAAGTCGGTTTTTGCTTAATAGAACCCTTCTGCTCTGGTCTGTTTTTTTTTATTTATTTATTTACTTATTTATTTTTATTGCAGATATACAGAGAGATATACAGATATAGAGAGCAGGAGAGACAGAGAGGAAAATCTTCCATCCGATGATTCACTCCCCAAGTGAGCGCAGTGGCTGGTGCTGTGCTGATCTGAAGCCGGGTATCAGGAACCTCTTCCAGGTCTCCCACTCAGGTGCGGGGTCCCAAGGCTTAGGGCCGTCCTCGACTACTTTCCCAGGCCACAAGCAGGGAGCTGGATGGGAAGTGGAGCTGCCGGGGGGTGGGTTAGAACCAGCTCCCCTATGGGATCCTGGCGTGCTCAAGGTGAGGATTTTAGCTGCTAGGCCACGCTGCCGGGCCCTGGCCTGTTTTTTAAAAAGAAAACCTTTGCTTTGGTCTCATATGCGAGCCGGGGTTGGTATGCTTAGATTTGGAAAAGGATGTCCCAATTTAAAAACCTGCCTGTTGTTTAGCATGTAAAATTTTTAAACTGTGTTTCCTGGTTGACGTGTCTTTTTAGTGAATGAGAGCTTGGACTGATTAAAACGACAGATTTTATCCAGGGAGGCCTGTTTGCAGTGCAGAGGGACCACTTTTTATAATTGTTTGCATGTTTGTAACTATCGGGTTCTGTCCTGTTTATTTACTTCTGAAGTTAGCCTGTTTCTCTTCTCCACTCTTATGCACCCTTGAAGGCAGGGGCTGCTTTATGTCTACATTACAGCTCATATTTCTAGTGCAGCATCTGGCTTGTAAGAAAATGCTCAAAAGTTTGCTTAATGGATGGTTTAAATATATATGGGTAATTTATTTTATTTTTGATGATGTTTATGTAGTTGAGAGGGATGCATGCCTATGTGGACCACTGATTAGGGTGGAAAGAGGTAAGGAATAAGGGAAAGTGAGTAAGACAACTGCCTCCAATCTCCTGTTTTCATCCTTGAATCTGGGGAAAAGTGGAGAAAGATGGGGAGAGAGCCACTCCCAGCAGTCCAACTGCATCAGTACCCGGGAACTGTGGACTGTCACCTGATTTCATCCCACGGTCCCTGATGTAGAGCATGTTCCCAGGGTACTGCACTCTAGTGGTTCTGATAGTTCTGAGATGCTGTTGATTTTGTTGTTCCAAGGTTGAGGAAATCCTTTCAAGGTCTACTGGCTGACGCAGTTCATCTTACAGCTATACTTGTCCAGATACTCACTGTCAAAGCTTGGACAGGAAAGCTGTCCAATTTGTTCTGTGGTATTAGATGTCCTCTGCAGGCCTCAGCGAACTGGTTGTCATGTCTCCCCTGTGCATCTGGACATGCACAGGCTTCAACAACTGAGGAGGCCCAGTTCTGACATATGCACTCCATAGATCACAGATCCTGGGATTTTTTTCCCATGGTTGGAGTTCTGAGTCCAGTGGTCCAGTTGGAGAGTCACCAAAGAACCCTCACCTTAGGTGGCCCCAGAACTGACTCCTGTGTGTGGCAGTGCCAGATAGTGCAGAGTCCGGCTCGATCTGTGCCCCCTATCAGCCTACACACACGCTGGTGGTATTAGTTGCCTGGTCATTTCTGTCCACAGCCCCATCTCATGTGCAAACCAAAGGATACTGTGGGTTTTTTTGTTTTGTGTTGGTTTTGCGTTTTCCTTTTTCATAGCCCTGTGCAGATAACAAATAGCAAGTATGAATAGAGAATAATAAGGCAAAAACTCTCTGCTTTATAACATGTATGATGTAAAGCAATTGAAGCATATGGAGGAAGAAAAAGGATAGGAAAATTTAGCATAAAACTCACTACAGATAAAAATAGGCCACAGGGTCAACACAGAACTTCCTGAAAGTTTCTGTCCAAAAACAAAACCGGTGACATAACCCATAACAGTTAACTAGGGGCTTAAAATTGCAGCTCTGTTTGGGAGGTGTTGATCCAAGAGGTTGTAGCAAATTGCAGCAGCGATAATTCTCTACCGTAAGTAGGCCTGTTTTTTATAACTATATGAGGGTATTTAAAAAAGTGAGTGGATATTTCGCCAGCTCTACTTTCAGACCAGAGATGGTCTCCCCTAAGAAACTGTTGAATTTATCTGGACAATAAGATGCTGGACTCTATGCATGGTACATGCTTGCAATGTAGGAACCATGAGTGGAATTGAACTGTACTACTGCAACAATGTGGAGGAATTCATCATGGGGGAGAGCATGGGGAAGAGTTGGGGAAATCCCAGAGCCTATGAAACAGTGTCATAAAATGAAATAAAAAAAAAAGTGAGTGAAGGGGCAGATGATTGACCTAATGGTTAAGACCACTGGGGTTTCCTACATCCCATGTTGAGGAGCCTGTGTTTAGTACTCAGCTTCCTGCTATTACAGACATTTGCAGGCAGAGGTGATAGCTCAAGTAGTTGAGTTCCTGTCACCCATGTGGGAAACCAGGTTTGAATTCCTTGCTTGGACTAGAATTCTTTGCAGTGGCTAAAACTATTATTACTTAACCAGCAAATTGAAGCATACACACACTCTCTTTGCCTCTCAGATAAAAGATGTAAAAATAATTTTTTAAAGATTTACTTATTTTTAGTATAAAGTCAGATATACAGAGAGGAGGGGAGACAGGAAGATCTTCTGTCCAATGGTTCACTCCCCAAGTAGCCACAACAGCTGGAACTGCGCTGATCTGAAGCCAGGAGTCAGGAGCTTCTTCCAGGTCTCCCATGCAGGTGCAGGGTCCCAAGCTTAACTGTTACTCTTAATAAGATACAAACCATATATTCTGAATATATAAGTGCAGAAATATAATAAGACAGTTCTGCTAATTTAGAGAAACAATAACAGTTTAGGTGCCCTCAAAAGAAAGTAACCTGGAAGAAATAACTGCCCGCTAGGAGGGGAACAGTTGATGCTTATAATGCAGTTGGCTGCCCTGAAAAGAACAAAAGGGAATTATACCAGAATAGAAATTTTATCCCAAACAAAAATGGACTCCAGAATGATGGGAGTCAAACTGAACGATGACTGTTGTGACTCTTTCCTTGCACTTATCACCATGACCAATCAATAGAGAACAGAGGCTGTTGGGAAATGAGCCTTTCTTGGCATTCTAACTCCCTATTCTTTCCCAGAAAAGATACCGGGGGGAAAAGATGCCAGATACAGAGGGGAGATCTCACAGTCCAGGGCCTGACCTGGGGTGGAGGTAGAAGGAAAGAAAAGCCAATATGAAACAGTGTATATAAACCTTGATTGCTTATGTGAGATCAATTGTGTATTGTTTTGATCAAATCTCATGGTACCTTGAGTTTTATGAACAGATTTAAGAAAACAGGAAGGAACTGGCTAAGATGTATCATGATGGCTTCACTTTTCAAAGCATATAGAATAATGTATTGATGTTTCCCATGCAAATGTTGAACAAGGAATCCAATCTGGCTGACTTTCTGAGGGAGGGATGGTGGTAGAACTACAAACTGGCAGTCTTTTGAATAGATGGCATGTTAGAACTAGGGAGTGAAGAGTATGGTAGGATAAAGGGCCAGTGATACATCATTGGGATATATCCACATTTGGGAGTCATAAAGAAAGGAGGAGGAAAAAAGCTTTGGCCAAGTAGGAGAGCCATTTATATGTGAAAGCAGAGAAGCTGAGAAAGGGAATTCGACCAAATGGTGTGGTCCCTAAGACAGAGGCCAAGGTTATGGACCGGAACAACCGCCCTTTCTGTAGCAAAGTAGCTAGAAATGATATTAGAGGGGAGGATGAAGTGACTGGTGATGAGAGTAGCAGCTGTCGTTGCCCTTGGAGTTTAACAAGGAAGGAAATAGTGGATAGAGGATTGAGTGAAGGTTCAGAAATAATATATTATGAGAACCTTGTTTAGGTTATATAGAAGCAGTTTTATGGCATAGAAAGGTTGGACAGCCTCCGCTTCATTAGTTGAATGGTCAGAAAAGGATATAGTTTCTAAGACTTGGGATTATTGAGATGGAAAATAATCAGATGCTTGCTTGCACTCTTTCCTGCCCAAAACAGAGGCTTTGACTGGCCATAGCAAATAGATACGGTCTCCTAGCTGCAGGGTCATTTGTTCAGATGGACTTTCTAGACATAAAGCAATGATGTATGAGTATATTTTGCTTATTTGCCTGGAAAATGCAAGATTTTAAGTTTTGGATATTTGGAATTACACCTTAGGAGTATGATATACTCATATGAATATACTGCATATGAAAGTTCACTATGGGATGGGACTGAATTCTGGGACCAAATGGTGAAATATGTTGAGGAGTCAGAGTGAAAGAAAATCAAGTTACAGGTGCAGTTCTTCACACCAGAGAAGTTAAATTTTAGGGGATAGAATTAAGGACACTTTTGGTGTAACTTACTTAAGCCCCAAATTTGCATGATTATGGCAGAATTTCATTATACATATATATATATGTATTTCATTATATGTGTGTGTGCGTCTATTTATACAAACTTAAATCTTAAAACCAAGAAACTTTGGGAAGCTTAGGGTCTAAGATAATGAGACCTAAATTAACTTTCCAGTGCTCTAATTCTTGTCATTTCACCCTATACTTTACTCTGTACTGATAGCTGGCTGTACTGTGTAATGATTGTGGTTCAGATTTTTCAGTTTTTTTTTCTAATGTGAAAACTGATTCTTACGATTTAAAATATTAATTTAATTTTAGACTTTGGATACAAAAGACCTTACAATAGAAAAAGTGGTGATCAATGGGCAGGAAGTCAAGTACACTCTCGGAGAAAGACAAAGTTACAAAGGATCGCCGCTGGAGATCTCTCTTCCTATCGCTTTGAGCAAGTATGTTATTCTCTATCTTTTATAACTGAATCATGAGGAGATAATTTTAAGTAATTTGCATAGTTTTCTTTTCCCTTTTCATCTGTGAATATGTAGCTGTTGGTAAACTGCTCCTACTGCCTTGTTCAGGCTGAAGTTTATAGGAAAAAAAAACTATGTAATGTCAAGATACTAAGGACATGCATTGTCTAAATTGCTGCAGGCTAGGATTTCGGATAAGTGTAATTTCTTTAACCCTCTTCATTTCACAAGCATTTAGAGTGGCAATGGAGGCTGTGCATTCATCAGGAAGTGCTTGCAGAGAACCTGGGAAGCTTTTGCAAGCTGCACATTCCTCTTGCTTCAGAGCCCAACTGCTTTTTACAATGAAATAATAGTCTTCATCTTAATGTCATTAAGGGCAGTAATAGCACTATTGCTATGTGCTGCTTCAGATGCGTTTATCATAATCCTGTGGAGCACGGGCTATATTTTACAGATTAGGACAGGGAATTGCAGAAATAAAATTATCTGTTCAAACAAGTGTCAGGCGGAATTGCCATATTGGAAGTATGGCCCTCCCGTTGATACCTTTGTGTGGAGGAAGGAGGTGCAAAACCCATTATTCTAGAACAAAGGTGATCTCCCTTCTTCTTTCTTTTTATTTTAAAAGTTTAATTAATTAATTAACTTTTTTTATTGGAAAGGCAGATATACAGAGAGAAAGAGTTAGAGAGAGAACGATCTTCCATCTGCTGGTTCACTCCCCAAGTGGCTGCAATGGCTGGAGATGCACCAATCTGAAGCCAGGAGCCCAGAGTTTCTTCTGGGTCTCTCATGCGGGTCCAGAATCCCAAGGCTTTGGGCCATTCTCAATTGCTTTCCCAGTCCACACGCAGAGAGCTGGATGGGAAGTGGAGCACCCGGGATGTGAACTGGCACCCGTATGATATCCCAGGGGATGCAAGGCTTGGATTTAGTCACTAGGCTATCGTGCTAGGTAGGCCCTGTCCCCTTGTCTTTCAGCAGCCAGTGCTTTCATGCCTTCTATTCCCCCTCTAAGAAACAAAGAAAGCACCCAGACATAAGTTGTGGAGTAGGTGGCATTAATCCCATTTCACAGTTGAAGAAACTATAGCCAAGGAGTTCAAATGGTTTGCCCAAGTTCACAGCACCAGCAAGTGTTATGGGCAGGATCAAAACAGGCAGGGCTGTGGGGTCCCACAGCTGTTATTATTTCCTTGTTACACATTTGTTCATTACTGGGTTCAACAGATATTCAACTCCCTCTAGAAATCTGTGGGTGCTCTGTTTCTTGACTTTATTGTTGGGAACCACCAAGTTAGCAAACCAGTTCTGCTTTGTGTAAGCATCTATACCCACCACAGTGGTAGCTGAAGTTCCAAAATTATTTCTTCACTTCCCCGCTGTCATAAAAATACCAAAAGGAGTCACAAATGACAAGTGTGTGACACACTGGGGAATATTCAGCCAGTATTAGTTCCTATGGTGGCTGCAGTAGCAGTGTGGTAGAGGGAAAAGGACACGCAGGCTAACTCTCAGCCCCATAGCGAGATCAGTGTAGTACTCTTTCTGTCCTTTCTGTACAAGGGTACTTCAAAAAGTTCATCGGGATGGCCAGTGCAGTGGCACAGCAGGTTAAATCGCCTCCTGCAATGGTGGCATCCTATTTTGGAGTGTCTTTTCCAGGCCCAGCTGCTCTACTTCTAGTTCAGCTTGCTAGCAATGTGCCTGGGAAGGCAGCAGCAGATGACCCAAGTACTCAAATCTGTGCCACCCACATGAGAGACTAGGATGGCTCAGCCTGATCTAGCCAGGACCGTCGTGGCCATTTGGGGAGTCAGCCAGTGGATGAGAGAACCCGGTTTCTCCTTCCCTGTAATGAATCCTTTAAAAAAAAAAAAAAGCTAACAGCAGTGCAAAATTAATTGCAAATTTATTTTGGTGCCAAAAATTTGGGAATGCATGCATGATTTTTTTTTTTCGTAATGCACATTTTCCATGAAACTCTTTGGCGATCCCTTGTATCATGAGTTTATATTATTCACTGTATTAGGAATATAATCAGAATTATGCTCTACCAGTAGTTTTATTTATTTCATGTAGAAATCAAGAGGTCGTGATAGAAATTTCTTTTGAGACATCTCCCGAATCCTCTGCTCTTCAGTGGCTCACTCCTGAGCAAACCTCTGGGAAGAAGCATCCGTACCTCTTCAGTCAGTGCCAGGTAAGAAGGATGGTGTGTTGTGCAAGAAGTTCCCAGCACCTGCAGTTTCATCAAGCGAGATGGGCAATGCTCTCACGAATATGAGGCCCTTACTTAATCTGGTGTTTTATTTTATATTACAAAAGTTATATGCTTTCATTTGTATCTGTTGTTGTTAACACATTGTGTATTATTTCTAAGTTAATCTTTTATTTGGAATCATGTTCACCTAAATTATATTATCTAGGTATTGTTATTGTTTATTGTAGTACCTACAAAGTGCCATAGGTTGAGTACAAATATGTACTGGTTATGAAGCAATCTAAAGAAATGGGAAGTCACTACCCACAGGTTACCACAGTGGAATTTCTCCAGGTTTGCAATTACTTAACATATAGCTAAGGATAAAGAATTACAATTAAGGACAACCTGTTCATAAGGATTTTAAGAATATCAAACTTTGCTGAAAGAGAAAGGATCTCATTTTGTTAGCAATCAACTTGTGATTGTTGCATATTTACCGTCTTTCCATTGCAGTAGGTACTGTGCATATATAATCATCCTGATATTCATTCCTGTGTGATAGATATCATATTAGGATCAGGTGTCTTGGGTTGCAGGTGTAGTAAAAAGTAAGCCATATTGGCACCTGATTTAGATGTGGTGGTTTTTTGTTGTTGTTGTTGTTGTTTTTTTTTTTTTTTGTCACTTGAAATATCTTCAAAAGCCAAAAGACCTGTTCTTGTTTTTTAAGTGAATATGTCAGAAGAACCGTTCCATGTTAACAGTTTCTGAAGAACTTGCTGCTGTTGCTTTTCTTCCCCCAGGCAATCCACTGCAGAGCGATCCTCCCTTGCCAGGACACCCCTTCTGTGAAGCACACCTACACCGCAGAGGTAAAGGATGCACACTGTCAGCTAAAGTGAACGAGCCAAGAGTGGTGTGAGAGATCAACACAGATGAGGACTGAATCTTTACAACTAGAGATATTTTACGTAATGAAGTTCTGCTGTTGAAATACATAAAAGTGTGACAGTAGACCTCATTCTGAGTTCTCAGGCACGTTAGCAGGGAGCTGAATGGGAAGCTGAGCATCCAGGACTTGGCCTGTGCCTCTCTGTGATGCCAGCAGCGCAGGCTTTACCCAAGCGTGCTACAATGCTGCCCCTTAAAGGCAATTTGAGAAGATAGGTGTCATTCTGCTTTTGAGAGGGAACTCAGAATTCTGAAACTAAAGCCAAGACTTTTAAAGCTTTTTTTTTTAACTTCCAAAAATTGGTGCTTCTGCTTTCCCATAAATGCCCTCTGTAGCCCTATGTAAATTCGTGGGTATATATTGCAGACTTTTTCATATGTATACATTTTCAATTTACTCCTGAAGTAGGTGCTGATAACTTGGGCAGAAAACTGGTCTGTATTTAAACTCAATCCCAGAGGCTGAGACGGAGACCAAGCAAACTGACCTTGGTCCCCCATCATCCTGTAAGCACCCCACACCCAGTGTAGTGCTGTGAAATGCCATACGCATCCAAAGTTCTGTGCCCTTCGTCACTGCCTGATGACTGTGTGAGCTTGGTCAGTTCTCACAGCCTCACGTCCTCAGTTGACTCTTGTGGCCAACACACCGTGGCCTTCTTGGAGGGGAGGAGACGAATCTGAATTCCTGCAGCCTGCCTTTGGGCACTGGGTTTGTGGTCATTGCAGCAGTGATTCAAGGAACCCTCCTTCTTTGCGTGCTTCAGTGTTGGTTGTGAGGCTTGAGCTGTTGGATGGACACTTGCTGGATCAGGACGACCCCGGGGACAATCCTTGATGCCAGCTACTATTGGAAATGAAACTTCTTGAACCATAGAGCCAGGATGCACATGTCAGTGCCATATGATTTTGCCCCATAAGGATTTTTTTCCCATACATATTTCCAGAGAAAATTATTTCACCTTTTTTGTGGGGTGGGGGCAGTAAGTTTTAGCTTCTCAAATTAACCCTTTAAGTACTTATTTGTGGAGTGTGGGTATATGTTTAGAATGTAAAAATACTTGAAACTGAATTTTCTGGCCCTTCGGGATTGTTCTGGGCTGTGCATGGGTTGTGTGAGCTGTCTTTCTGAGTGGCGCTGGGCCCTATTATTTGCTCCTTTTAACAACTCTGTGACATTTTGCCCTCATGTGATGGGAAAGCGGGAGCTGAGGGAGGTTGTCTGCCTGTGTCTGCAGTTGGTCGGGAGGTCCAGCTGGGCCTTGAATCCAGTTTCTTTCACAGCTCTGCTCTTACGGTGCCTGCGATGAATGGTGCTCATTCATTTTGAAGGAATTCAGTTTTACCCATTGCTTTTTCTATTCGCACATTTTGCATTCATGCTCTGTTTATTATGTAAGGTAGTTAATAAAGAGGTAGTACATGGATACATGTAGTTTAAGAAGCACGGAACCTTTTACTTCTGAACAGAAATAACTCTTCTTCTTAATTAGGTGTCAGTCCCTAAAGAACTGGTCGCACTTATGAGTGCCATTCGTGATGGAGAAGCACCTGACCCAGAAGACCCAAGCCGGAAAATATATAAATTCAACCAAAAGGTAAGATTGCAGGATCTAGATTTTTGTTTATAGTTAGTAGTGAATTAGAATTCGCTTTTATCTGTCCACAGAGCAAACTTAACTTTTGCGATAGCTTCGCATTAGAAAGCAAGCTTTGAGTTGGTTCATTGGTTTTGCTTTCTTCCTTTTGTGTGTGCATGTATTTGAAGGATCTGGTTCCATCAACAGAGAGTTTTTTTTTTTTTTAAGATTTATTTTATTTTTATTGGAAAGGCAGATATACAGAGAGGAGAGACAGAGAGAAAGATCTTCCATCCGATGATTCACTCCCTAAGTGAGCACAACGGCCGATGCTATGCCGGTCCGAAGCCAGGAGCCTCTTCCGGGTCTCCCACGCGGGTGCAGGGTCCCAAAGCTTTGGGCAGTCCTCGACTGCTTTCCCGGGCCACAGGCAGGGAGCTGGATGGGAAGCAGGGCTGCCGGGACAGAACTGGCACCCATATGGGATCCCGGGCGTGCAAGGCGAGGACCTTAACCACTGCGCCACCGCGCCAGGTCCAACAACGAGTTTTGAGTTGAAGAAGCAGATTGCTGTAGAGACCCAGTAGGACTTGTGCCTGATCGTATCTTCCTCATTCAGTTAGTAGCAGGTTCCCTGATCTTTTTACGGTAATAACCTTTGCCTAGTTTGGTACTACAGTGTGGGCTTGTGACTACCAAGGGTGTTTATACATGAGAAAGCTATCTTGAACCAGAAAAATACCGTTTTACAGTTCTGTAAGTTAAACTTTTGTTTAGCTAGCAATTGGACTGTGTCTGTAACTTTTAAAGAGTAGACTGTGTGTGTGTGTGTGTGTGTGTGTGTGTGTGTGTGTGTGTGTGTGTGTGTTTTGGAGATTTTCTAAGTTATTCCTATTTCAGCTACTGTGGTTCCATGCTCCCATTCCTTTGGAATCCTCTTAATGCTGGCTTATTTTGCTTGTATTTAGAATATATAGTGGATTTGTAACACAAAAAATTAGAAGCATATTTGAAAAGGCAAGAGAATAAAGGTAGAAAAAAATAAGGGAAAAACATATCTCTAATAAGGTAAAAAACACAATCTCTAACGTTCTTTCCCCTTAAAAATGAGAACTATGTTAAAAGTATTAAAAAAAATCTGGATGTTATAAAAGGAATTTACTTAATAATTTTTAGGATGAGTTGTATTCTGCAACATTTTGAACACTAATGCAAGTTTGTGGTGTTTGTGTGTTTGTGCACATAGGTCCCAATACCCTGCTACCTGTTTGCTTTAGTTGTTGGAGCTTTAGAAAGCAGGTGAGTTTTTGCACAAATCTTGAGGTTTGTTGGAAGAGCCAGCCATGAGCATCTTGAACAATTCTGTCTAGATCAAGTAACACTCATTTGTGAGCTTCTCAAGATATTAAGCTGACTGGTCTGGAAAAATTCATACCTGATCTTAAAATTTAGGCATTGAATTAATTTTATATTGAAGACGTGTTATCATTTATAGATTTTCTAAGCATTGAAAAATGAGCATGCTCTGACCTCTTAACTAGAGACCTGGATTCTAATGTAAACTTGAATATCTCACGTCATCATAATTTCTGTGTCCTCACCTTTGAAAGAATGCTATCTGCTTATCCTGTCTCCTAGGGCAATTGTAGGAAACAAATGTGACAACATATATTAAAGTATTGGAAGCAGATAAAATTGTGGAACTGTAAGATGTTGATTATAGTTTTACCAATAGCTAAAGTGTCCTTCCTTCATAATTTTTTGTTCTGATTTCCAAACTAAAAATTTTGAATGTAGTTATTACTGTTTTTGGATTGCTAGAATTGTGGACGTGTGGAAGAAGATCTAGTTAACCCAGATTCAAACTCATGCTCCAGACTTTACTAACTGTACCCACAGTTATTCTCCATCTAGAAAACAGAAGGAATAATTTGCACTTCAAAGGTGTTATTTTTGTGAGGACTAATAGATCTTACAAATGTAAAACTCCTGGCCTAAATAATTATAATAATTGTCATAGCAGATATCCCAAGCAATGTCTTAATCCTTGAGCCAAGTAGAATTTGCCACCCCAGCATTTCTTTTTTAAAATTTTTTATTTTATTTTCTTATTTTAAAATTTTTTTGTAATGATTGCACGGTTGATCAGGGTGGGAAGGATCAAAGTTTAGGGAAGATTGGATGAACTCATTGCTTCCAAATTTGCTATTTCTTCTTGTTGCTTCTGCACCCTTGCATTTCTAATTGTGCACTTCAGCAGTGTTAAACGTATTTGCATGGTGGTAAAATAAAACTGCAGAACTTTCACATTGCAGCATTGCAATTCTTTACCCATCAAATGGCAACTCTGCTTTGCCTTCCTCCCTTACCACCAGGCTGACTGTTGGTGGGAGTGCTTCCTCTCTTTGTTTTCCTTGGACCTTGGCTCTGCCTCCTGAGGCAGCTATGGGTCTGGGATTGCATGTGCAATAGCATGTTTGTCCCTCAGGACACTTCACTTATCCCTGCCCTTATGCACACCAAAAATCCACTCCCACTGTAACGTAGGACTTTAAGTCCTTGCTAGACCCAAGATGAGCGTTCCGCCTTGAATTTCTTTTCATTAATCTTTTTCATTTACAGGCAGATTGGCCCAAGAAGTTTGGTATGGTCTGAAAAAGAACAGGTGGAAAAATCTGCTTTCGAATTTTCTGAGGTTGGTCCTATATTCATGCAATGTTTTTGTTTGTTTGTTTTTTAGATTTAGTATTTTGAATATGAAATGTGATGGATTTAAGAGAGTAAAAATATGTTTTGTTTTATGTGAGTTTTTAATTGTTACTTTTAAAAATCATTTCATTTGAAATAATTTCATTACCATGTGACCTTCAAAGAAAGCAATATGTACTTTTAAGATATTATGGTAGCAAGACATACAAATTCATATACATTCCTTTTTTTTCCAGACTGAATCTATGCTTAAAATTGCAGAAGATCTGGGGGGACCCTATGTCTGGGGCCAGTATGACCTGCTGGTCCTACCCCCATCCTTCCCGTATGGTGGCATGGAGAATCCTTGCCTTACATTTGTAACTCCAACCCTTCTGGTAAGTGTAAATATCTCATTTCCAGTTAAGATCTTCTCAGAAATCAGCCTAGCTCAGTAGGAATCTCAGACATATAACAAAAAAGTACCAAAAAATTTTTTTGTCTTTTTCATATATCCCTTGCTTCTAACTTTATTGCCTGTTATGGCTATCATAACCTTTTTTCCCAAAAGAAAATAGTTTTGACACTTGGGAAAAGACAATATTATTGTTCAGGGTGTTTTGAGGTGTTGAGAGGTAGGAGTGCTATGTAACAACCATCCATTGAAGAATAACCTATCCAGACAATGAAACTACTCCATTTGCAGTTGGTCTGTGTACTGATTACCAAGACAAAACAAAACAAAACAAAACTTCCCAGGGCACTGCCTGTAGGAAAGCAGTAGACCTGAAGTTTGCATTTTTCTGTTTGCCTTGTAAGCTCCTTTCAATATTTCCTAGAACCAGGTGACTAATAGGTTAATAGCTAAATTAATAAAATGAAATACCCCACAGAGCACACCCAACATCTTAACCTTCTCTTATGTTTAGAGTAGTAAGGGGAGAAAGGTACTGATAGGTGAGTAAGAGCAGATACAGAGAGATGGGATGAGAAGTGCTCCCTGGAAGTTACAGACAAGCACACTGCCCTCTTGCAGTTGGAAAGATACCCTAGGATTCCAGAGCAAGGAAGAGTGATGTCATTTTTTTTCAGTCTGGCATTTATTGTTTTGTTTTCATAATAAATGTCTCTTTTGAGCTGTCTGAAGTGCCAGTGTAACAGTACAGTAGATTATCAGTTATATGCTAGGTGCTGAGGTAGGCAATGTTGTAGCTGTAATAATCCTAAAGTAATTTTCTTCCTTTTTTTTTTTTTGTAGGCAGGTGACAAATCACTCTCCAACGTAAGTTCAAATTTCTTCATATAATCTTACACTCAAAAGGCATTCAGTCAGTCGGTTTTAATATATGCATTGTCTGGGAGGGATTTAACCCAACATCCCAAGTTGGAATGTCTGGGTTTGAGTCCCCAGCTCCTGACCCCAGCTTTGTGCTGACGTGGACCCCAGAAAGACAATGGTGATGACATAGTTCATTGAGTTCTTGCCACCGAGTGGGAGACCTGGATTGAGGTCCTGGCTCCTGGCTTCACTCAGCTATAACCACCAGTGGTCGTCTCGGGACCTAACCAATGCAACCTCTCTCTGCTTCTCAAAGAAATAAATAAGTAAATATTTTTTTTTTTAAAAAAGGAAAGAAAAAAAAATATTGGGAGATATTTGGGAGTTCCCATCACAAGACATTATTGCATTAACCATGATATATAATAAGCTTATGAAAATTTTATGGCTTGATTATATGTTAGTGAGATATTTTTGTAGAGTGATGTATCAATGTAATATTTTCTAAGTCATGTTTTCTTTCTAATTATTTTAACCATGCAATTTTTGTCACATTTGTCTAAATTGGTTTTTTTTTTTTTTTTGGTCTGAGTAACTTTGATATCTCAGCTAATTAAAAAAAAATTGAATAGTGAGATAGAATTGAAAGAATAACAGTGTTTAAATAATGATATATTTTAAGTAAGGCAATTAATCTTACTATTAGTCATTTATACTGCTTCCTTTAGGTTATTGCACATGAGATATCTCACAGTTGGACAGGAAACCTAGTGACCAACAAAACCTGGGATCACTTTTGGTAAGATTTCTAAAATTATTTTAATGGTCCTTTGTCAATTTCTTTCCCATCACTCTAAATTGGTTTAAGTCTAAATCTTTGGGTTTCGGGCTTAGTATGATGGCTAAATCCTCACCTTGCAATCTCTGGGATCCCATATGGATGCCAGTTCATTTCCTGGCTGCTCCCCTTCCGATCCAGCTCCCTGCTTGTGGCCTGGGAGAGCAGTGGAGGACGGCCCCAAACCTTGGGACCATGCACCTGCATGGGAGACCTGGAAGAAGCTCCTGACTCCTGGCTTCAAATCTGCTCAGCTCCAGCTGTTGCAGCCACTTGGGGAGTGAACCAGCAGACAGAAGAGCTTTCTGTCTCTCCTTTTCTCTGTAAATCTGCCTTTCCAATAAAAATAAACTTAAAGAAAAAAATTGGATTTTGTTGATGCTGCTCTTTGGTAGGAAGTGATTCAATGAAGCAGCATTCCAGAAGATGGTATTGGAAAGGGTCCGTGGGTTCGGTTTATGCTTGTGACTCAATTCCCAACACGGTGACATTTTAGTATGCTGATAAATGAAAATCCAGAACTGAATCTTATTTTTGTCTGGTGCCCTCTGCTGGTCCAGCCTTCTTGTCTCTCTTGAACTGACTGCCTGCAACGGCATAGGCTGTCTGCTGAGACTGTGCTAGTTGTGCCTTATGGCTGCTTCCTAAATGGAAAAGCCAGATAAGTTACTAATTAAAATGACTCTTCCCCTGCTATGTCATGTTTTCAGCTTATTTGTTTGTTTTTAATTTTTTTTTTCAGGCTGAATGAAGGACATACTGTGTATTTGGAACGTCACATTTGTGGACGATTGTTCGGTGAAAAGTTCAGACATTTTCATGCTCTGGGAGGCTGGGGAGAACTACAGAACACAGTAAGTGAATTAAGACCCTTACAGGCACTCAAAGTGGACTTTTCTGAACCGCCTTTAGTAAGATACCAGCAAGAAAATCACTTTTGTGGGTGTAGGAAGTGAAGCAGAAGCTAGTCTAATACTCAATTGATGCATGTCATCATTGTCCTGTGGAAGGTAGTGTCGTCTCTGTTGGAAACGGAAGGATCTCATTGGATCTTCGCTGTTGTAATATAGCTGGTTATGTGTTTCAGTTTTGTTTTTAGTATATTTATGTCATTTTTAGAAATTAAGCACATAATTTCCTTAATGCTTACATGGATAGGAATCCTTAGAGAACATTGGTTGTTCATTCAGTCATCAATTCAGAGAAATGAAGGAAAGGGTTTGGAACTGCTCGTCAGTGTGTATGGTGGGGAGCGTTGTTTGGACTAACCAAACCTGAATAGGGTTGTATAGTAATCAAATAAAAAATGGGCCAGTTCCCCAAAAATAAAAAAGCCACAAGATTCAGAGCAGTTGAACAAAAGGAGCCATTTACCTGAGTTAACGTAACACAACTCTCTTGCAGGACAATTAACTGTGAGATGATTCTAGAAAAAGTCAAGCAGATCTTTAAAGTGAACTTAGTGGTAATTTTTTTTTTTAATACTTTCACTGACTGAGTAGTAATTATGAAACCCAGAGGAATAATGGGAAATAGGACTGTTTGATCCAGGTCTGTTTCTACATGTTCATCTTGATGTTGACTCTCAGTCTTCAGTGAGGACAGGCGCTCTTCCCTCCCTGGGAAGGGAGACACTATCTTTGAAGGACAATCCACTCCTTCCTTTTAGACTGGTCCAACTCTTCCCTCACCTGCTGGGTTTCAGTTGCCTTTAGCTCAAAATAATCTGTAAGTAACAATGGCTCTTTTGGGATGACATTCTCATCTCTTCCAGAGAAATTTCAGAGAGATTATTGAAACACTGAACCCTTAAAACAGCCAACCATTTTTCTGACATCACACATGTTGGACAAAAATTTGCAAATGTACTTAGTGCAAATTTATTTGCAATATCCACATGTGAATTCAAGATTGCTTTTCTCAGAGTGTAAAACCTTTTATTTATTCATTTGAGAGGCAGAGTGAGAGCTCCCATCCATCAACCCACTTGTGTGTGGTGGCTGGAGCTGGGCCAAGGCCGAAACTAGGAACTAGAGAACTTACTACATATCTCCCACGTGGGTGGCAGGAGCCCAACAACTTTTGAGTCATCACTGCTGCTCCAAGAGTCACATTAGAGGACACTGAAGGCAAGAATTATGACTGGGTGTTGCACCAGGGGTTCTGAAATGGGACCTGGACGTGCCAACTGGCATCTCAATTGTTACATCAGTAGCCTGCCCTGGGCTGTGTCATTTTTAAGTGCTCCTTGAAAGCCAAGTTTGCTGACTAGGCATTGAATCACTTCTCTACTCTTTTATAGTAAAGTCTGTTATTGGATGAGAAATTTCAGGGACCATGATATAAATGGCCATTCTGTTAATGGATTTTTCAGACATTTAGGCCAACATGTCCTACTACTTCCTGTCTCTTAAGTTTATGTCAGTCTGGATTTCTTGAAGTTGTGCCTCTGCATGCTGATGCAGTGTAGCAGTCTCCACAGATGAGGTTTTTTTCTTATTTCTTGTCTTGCAGGTAAAGAGTTTAGGGGAGACACATCCTTTCACCAAACTTGTGGTTGATCTGACCGATGTGGACCCTGACGTAGCATATTGTCCGGTTCCCTATGAAAAGGGCTTTGCTTTGCTCTTTTACCTTGAACAGCTTCTTGGAGGACCTGGTGAGCAGTCAGCATTTTCTGATTCCTGTTTTTGAAGGTCATGACAAGAAATTAGGAAGAATTCTAAACTGTTGATGTTGCTCCTTAGGACAGCAAGTGACCATGGAATTCTAAAATGCACTGCATGACTTACAAAAAAAAAAAAAAAAAACAAACTCATTGGTAATGTTAAAATGAAGATAGTATGAACTCATTGAAAAATTTCTGTAGCACAAAAGTATATGAGTAACCAGTGAGAGTCTCCCCCTTGTTCTCCACTCCCTTAGGGTTACCCTACCCACAGGTGGCAGTTTGGTGTGTGTCCCTAGACTATTTTCAAGTATAAATGAACAGCAGATAAATATGTACCTATAGTACTTTTTCTTTAAAAATTATATGAAAGACGATAGAGAGAAACAGAGAAAGAGAGAGAGAGATCATCCATCCACTGATTGACTTCTGAAATATACCATCCTGGGTAGGGCGAGGCCAAAGCTATAAGTTTGCAATTCTACTGAGTCTCCTGCATGGGTGGCAAGGGCCCAAGTACATATTCCATTACTGCATTCTGAGGTGCACCAACTGGAAGCTGGATCAGCAGCAGAGCAGACGTAGCTTAGCCTGACACTCTGATTGGGATGCTGTTGCCCCCTAGAAAGTTATTTTAATTATAGAAGTGGAAAACAGGTACAGAGGTTATTTTTGAGAAACTACAACCACATAGCTTTTAATGTAGTGGAGAAGTAAATAGAGCTGCCATGTGCTGGCTCTCCAAATCCCATCAAAGCCTGGGCAGGACTGGGCCAGGCCACCCAAGCTGGTTGCCAGGAACTCAGTTCCACCTTCCCAGGTAGGTGCTGGGGATCCTGCTGCCTGAGCCCTCATGTGCTGCATTTGCAGCTGCACACATGCCAGAAACTAGAATCATGAGTGAAGCTAGAACTTAAACTCGGACTACAGTGCAAACACTGGCATCCTAACTGCAAGGTAGATGGCTGCCCCACTTTTCAGGTTTGCTGCACTCAGCATTTCACATCTCTCCTCAGTTCTGCTTCAGGACACCGGAATCTCTTAGACTCTTTTATGTCGTAATTGTGTGTCACTGTGAACATAGGATCTGAGTTTGTGTCATCTGCCCTGGTTGGGAGACGATCAGGTGTCTGTTGCTGATGGACTTGAAGGTCTGCTCTCCCCTAGGTCCATCTTTCTTTTCTTTTATTTTATTTTTATTTTTTACTTTTAGAGGTTTTCCTAGGATTCTTAAAGGCTTATGTCGAAAAGTTTTCCTACCAGAGCATAACCACTGATGACTGGAAGGATTTCCTGTATTCCCACTTTAAAGATAAGGTCGGATTTTTAAATCTTTCTTTTGTGCTCAGTGTTTTCTCATTTATACTATTTGTTAAACTGTTTTGAATTAATAAGAGTATTGATTCAGAAATTTTTTAGGAAGAAAACAATCTTTTTTCCTGTTTAAAATGCGATCTGAATAACATGAGCTCATATCTAGAACATTTCTATCTCAGAAAGGACCTAAATAGTATGATTCTGACTCTTATTTTTCCTGTGCCCTTTAGGTTCTTGCTTTAATTACTTAACAGAGGATAAATGATGAATGTAAAGTCATTTAGAAAACAAGCTTAGCTGAGGTCACAGTTACATTAATCATTTTAATTTAATCATTTCATGTTATGATATGTGGATTGAAGCATCTTGTTGTAGCCAATAAATGTGCATACTTAAAATTTACCAATTTAAAATATTAATAAAAAAGAAAAGAGATCTAGAAATTATCTTGATATGACAGGCTAGACAAAATGATAAATTTAAGAACTTAATTAAAAAAAAAACAGAAAAGGTTATTCTGATTTTTTTACTATTCCCAGGTTGACATACTCAATCAAGTAGATTGGAATGCATGGCTCTACTCTCCTGGCCTGCCTCCCGTGAAACCCAAGTAAGTACCTTCCTTCTCAATGCTAAATCTTAGGCTTTTGTGCCTTCTCTAAGCCTTCCCCGGTGAGGACAACGTTCATGGGTATTTGGACCTTAGTTCTGAGGCCAAAATAGTGATTTCCATGACTAACAAATTTTAGTTTGCTTGGTTTGTTGCAAATAATTGTTCAATGTCTCCTTTTTTCACACCATGAATGAGAGATACAGGGAATGATCTAGTGTCCCTTCGGACTTTTATAGTAAGGAAAGTAATGTTTAGGTGTCACATTGTTACAGCCGTTCCAGAAGATTCAGCTTAGGTTTTGGTTAGTTCAAGTGTCTTGCCCAAGGTTCCAGGGCTACCAAGTGTCAGGCATTGAGAGTCAAGCCTCATAGTCTTTGCCTCAGCATCCTGCCTTTTAGCCTTGCATACTCGTGGAGTCAGGGACCTGAACCCTGGTCTTCCATGAGTCTGGTGGCTCATTGCCCTTCCTTGGGACCCTGGGATTGACTGCCAACTATTCCCAAGTGAAATAGCCCCATTTAATGGATGTGCAGGTGCAGGAGATAAGATAGATGAGTCATGGTGATGTTTGTCAAAGCATTTTAAATAACTATGCTGGGGACGGGTTGGGTTGGAAAGTTACTGGGAGTTGAGAATATAAAAAGATGTGGTTAGCACTCCGCATTAACCAGGCAGTCCCAGTGTCGGAGCCTGGTGAAAACTGGAGCTCAGAAGCTAGAAAGAGCTAATGGCAACAGGATTGCTTGATTCTGTTTTTAGATGTAGGAAGATGGCACACACTTGCAGTAATCTCTATTAGTGTAAACAAAGGGGGGAAAAAAAGTTTGTAGTTTTGTCCGGCAGTTGGTAGTTTCAGAAGTGCCATCATTTAGATCGGTTCTTAGAACAGTTTTAGCAGAGATACTGGAGGCCCAGAGTGACACATGATAACAAGAAAAGCAAGGAACAGCTGCAAGGAGCGCTGTCTGAGGGTGTGGACACTGTTAGTAACTGATTGATCATGGTGAGCAAAAAGGAATTAAAATGAGCAGAGAAGTACAAAAGCTCTGTTTAATCCACCATATGCTGACTGAGTGGCAGCCACTGTTCAGGTGAATGCCAAACAAGGAACTCACAGAGCAAATACGGAAGTATGCATGGCAGGTTGCGCATCCCTATTGGAAATATTTGGGACTAAGAGGTTTCATGTTATCAGAATTTTGAATCTTTACAGATTCAAAGACTGGTCGAGCTTTCCAGTCAGCCCACAATTCTGAAATTGAATGTATTCTAAAATCTAAGAATTTTTGAGTTTCATGTCAGCCTTCAAAAGTTTCACTTAGGCTCAAGCATTGTGGCATAGTGAGTAAGACCGCCATCTGTGGTGCTGGCATCCCCTGTGGGTGCCGGTTCGTGTCCTGGCTGCTCCGCTTCTGGCCCAGCTCCCTACTAATGTGCCTGGGAAAGCAACGGAAGATGGTTGAAGTGATTGGGCCCCTGCATCACGTGAGAGACCCAGATGAAGCTCCTGGTTCCTGGCTTTGGATCGGCCCAGTTCTGGCTGTTGCAGCCATTTGGGAAGTTAACCGATGGATGGAAGATATGTCACTGTTTCTCCTCTCTTTTCTACCATTCAAAGAAATAAATAAATCTTTTGAAAAAAAAATTTAATTAGATTTTCAGATTAAGGGAGTTGAACCCACAATTATAATAAAAGGAAGTATTTTAATAAAATACCTGTTAAATGCTATGAGCAAGTAAACCACTCATTGGCTGGCTGTTGACTAATATATCACCCTAGAGGTTAATTACAAAGAAGGATACAAAGTGTGACGTTCAGCCTATGGAACTGTATCATACAATAATAATAAAAAATAATAAATAAAATTAAAATTTTTTAAATGTGCTGTTCAGAACCTTAGTGGTTCTCCACCAAAATAGAGACAACAAAATAGAATGAAGATCAGAAAACAGTTTCAGCAATTCACTGTTAAGAAAGCTTTGGGAAGAACTGACTTAAAAAGTGCTAAAGTGACCGGCAGGGTCAATGCTGGAACCTGAGAAAAACAGTGTAGCTTTTGAAGTTAGTCATGTCCAGAACTCATTTCAGTGTCTCAGTTAGGGCATAAGACAACTATGTAGGAAGATGAACCGTTGGCCCTTGCTTTCAAAGCTAAGAAAATCTGAATTAAAAGTGAGTTCTGCCCAAGGTATTTGATATCACACTACTGCGGGATCTTTTGAGGGCCTGGTTCATTAGGCATCAGAGCATGGAAGGGCCCTGGAATTCTTCCTGTGCCCAGGGGTCCCGTACGGAGACCCAAGCCACGGAAAATGCTTTGATCTGCTCCAGTCCAGGAGATTGATGTGCATGTCCCTCTGGTGCTGAAGCGTTCTCAGCATTATGTGCATTTTAAATATCTTTTGGAGCCATCTTTGTCTCCCCATTTTCACCACCACTGTACGAGATGGATCTGACATGATGGCCTCCTCCTAAAATTCTGCTCTGGCCTCCAGACTGGGCACCCAGGTCCTTTCCCAGCCCCTCCCAAGCACCGTCCACAGTAACACAACAGCATGCTCTTGAAAAGGCAGCTGTGTCACAGCCCTACTTAGTAGACAACCAGCAGTCCCAGGACTGTCAGGCTAGCAGTCTAACTGCTAACAGTCTGACGTCTGTTGGTTCAGTCAGCCTGGCATTTTGGGGTCTCCAGTGCACAGAGCACCTGAATGTGCTGGTCCCCTCCACCTGCAGTACCCTCTGCCCCTTGATTTCCAAGCTCAGCTCACGCATACCTCCTCACAAAACAGCTCTCAGGCTCTTGAGCCAGCCCGAAGCTCCCACCAGCAAGCTTGCTGGGGCTGTGGTTTGCCTCTTTCTAGCAGTTGCCATATTTGTAACTTTACCCTTAACTTGTGTGGTGATGAGCATGCTCCGCTGAACTACATCATAAATGCCAGGAGAGCAGGGGAGCAAGGTTCCTGTCTGGTTTAGCTCGTGTTTCTCAGGTCTTTGCCATAAGGAGAGATGGTTTCCTTTCCCTGGGCTAATTCCTAATTTGTTTACTTACACGGAGAAGGATGTTTCAGGAGACTCTGACGCAGACCAGGCGAAGGTTTTCCGCTGGCCTATTGTCCTGTATGAAATCAGTGCGAAGTATACAGTGATTTCCAGCCAGAACAGGTCAGGACCTCTGACCTCTCTTGTTCTTGAGGGAAAACACAGTAGCTTGCCTGCAGCTCCCCCATGGCCCCTGTGGCTGCTTGGAAGGAGAAAGCTGCCTTGGCCCCTTTGTGACCTCCCATAGGGAACAACAAGGAGACCTGGTCACAGCTCAAAACTTCATTCAAACCCTAAGGGCTGCCACCTGTCTCCATTCTCTAATGCAAACATTCCACAGGAAACAAGCATGATTTATGGACAAAGCAGGATGTTTTACAAGAGGGGCACATGTTCTTTATCACTGTTGTAAAACGTGAGATTTATTTTCTAAGCTGAGAACATGGATAACTTGCTTTGCCTCATGATCATAAGGTGGCACCTCTAAAAGGAAAGGAATAAAGTCATCCCCCAATAACGTGAGGGTCTAGTGTCTGGAACAGTGTGTGTTATGTAACAGCAGATGCTCACAGACCTGTTGCATGGTTAGATGGTTAGAACAAGAGGAAGTAAGATCCAGGAGGAAAAGGACTTTAGATCTCGAAAGTCTGGAGCATACCTGAATTCTGCATAGGCCCTCATGGGTCCAGTTCTTTCCAGATGCTTTAACTAGTGCTGCCTGTGCTTCTGGCCATCTCACTGAGGATGGTCAGTTGTCTCACAACATACCTTTTCAGATGAGGCCACTAGCATTCAAGTCCAGGGAAGGTTTGATATTTCCATCACGTTAAAGTTGTTTAAATTTTTAAAATATTGATTTATTTTTATTGAAAAGGCAGATTTCCAGAGAGAAGTGAAGGCAGAAAAAAAGTCTTCCATCTGCTGGTTCACTCCCCAGATGGCCACAATGGGTATAGATGAGCCGTTCCAAATCTAGAATATTCTCTTGGGTCTCCCATGCCAGTGCAGAGTCCCAAGGCTTCAGGCCATCTTCCACTGCTTTCCCAGACCATAGGCAAGGAGAGGGATGGGAAATGGGGCAGGCAGGACACGAAGCAGCACCTATATGGGATCCTGGCACTAGCAGTAGGAAGATTAACCAATTGTGCTATCACAATTGAAAGAGTTACACAGAGAGGGGAGCGACAGAGAGATATCTGCTCACTGGTTCACTCCCCAAAGGACCACAACAGCTAGAGCTGAGCCAGTCAAAGCTGGGAACCAGGAGTTTATTGCAAATCTCTCATGTGGGTGCAGCTTCCCAAGGCATTGGACCATCCTCCACTGCCTTCCCAGACCATTAGCAGGGAGATGAATTAAAAGTAGAACAGCCAGAGATCCTTGCATCCTCCAGAACCTCAAATAGGCTCCAGTTTGTGTCCTGGTTGTTCCACTTCCGATCCAGCTCCCTGTTTGTGGCCGGGGAATGCAGCAGTAGAGGATGACACAAGGCCTGAGGACCCTGCACCCACAGGGGAGACCCAGAGAAAGCTCCTGGCTCTTGGCCTTGGTGTGGCTCAGCTCCAGAAGTTGTAGCCACTTGAGGAGTAAACCAGCTGATTAAGATCTGTAAAGTCTGTAAATCTGACTTTCAAATAAAAATTAAAATCTTAAAAAAAAAAAAAAGAACAGCCAGAATTAGAACTGGTATGCTTACGGGATGCTTACACCACACCACCTAACTCCACCTCACCAGCCCCCTTATGTTCTTTGTTTAAACAGAGCCTAGAAATGTATGTCCTGAAACTTTAAAGCTATTTCCATGCAAAAGAGTGACCTTCTGTTAAGCAGTCTCGGTTATCTTTTCATCTTTGCAGTTACGACATGACTCTGACAAATGCTTGCATTGCTCTCAGTCAAAGATGGATCACAGTGAGTAGTAATGTGACTTTGACCTGCTCTTTGAATTGTACAAACAAGTTTCTGCTTGTGGAGGGAGGCTGGGGATGGATGCTTGGAGTGGTGAGTAGCTGTTAGGCAGAAAGACAGTTGAAAAGTCACATTTGTCTAGGGTGATTCTGTGTGCTTACTGAGTGAATAAGATTTTCATGAAGGAAAAGAAATGTTGGCAGCATTCATTCTGATTTTTCTTGTAGTCTTGGAACTCAGAAAAGAAAAAAACAAGAACGTTTTCATCTTACTCTTTTTCTTTTCTTTGTAAATCACTTCTAACATACTTTGAACATAGCAACTATCCATACCAGGTAGATCTAAATTGGTATTGGGTGACCGGTAATGCCAGCTGCTAGTGATGGGAGGAACTGGAGAACTTGTGCTGTGACCTTAGCTTTGTCTACTTCTGCAAAATGTCCTAAAGAGGAGCTTCTCTATGGAGGTACCAAAACATAATCTTTAGAGGAACTGCAGTAAAGTAGTCGCTGAACAAACAACAGAGAATCTGTAAGTCATTTTATTCCTATTATCTTAACACACTTAGATGTCACCTTTAAAATCTTGTGTTTCAAGTGTCCCTCACACCCTTGACATGGGGCAGATCATGTGGCAAGGGACACGAGGAGTGTTGATTCCTCTGGGGACTCTGTTTATCAGGGAGTACATATGTGAAAACTTTTATGCTATCTGTTTACTTCCCTGTTTCTTTCACTGCACTGTGAGTTGAGTGAGAGCCAGAATTACTTTCATTTACTTCTGTATTCCCAAGGCCAACCACATGTATTTGCTGTTAGATGTATACATAAATTATTAGGGGGAAAACAGGGTGGAAACATGAACCAGTCCCTGCCTGGGCAGGACTTGATTGTCAATATAAAATGCAATCTGTAGACAGCAGTGCCTCCATAAAGGTTTTGAATTGCAAATGAAGTGATAAGAGTTGTGTATTAGGGCCATTAATCTAGAAGTATAGTGTTTAGAGCCAATCAAAATGAAAAAAATTACTAAGGAGGCCTGCTAAAAGGGTGTCAGGATGTTTAGGGTTAAAAATGGAATGGATTTGGAATTACAACAGAGTACGGAAGGAAATAGTAAATAGACTTGAAAGATTTTTCAGCTTTACTGTTACCAGTAATTAAGAACTTGGAAACTGATTAAACATACAGAATAAGAAAGGGGAGTGGGAAGCTCTGGATACTAAGAGAACACATTCAGAGCCAGAAGAAGGAAAATAAACCCAGCCAGGAGCCAGAAACCAAAGGAAGAGATCCTGTGGTTTTTATTAGAGATTGATGAATCAAAGAAGGCGGCCGTTTGTCCATGTGTAGATGGAGCAAGCATGTGGCAGAGGCCTTGTCTTTCAGCCACTGGGCCTTTTATACTTAAAGGAGGTTTGAGAGTTTGGAGAAATGGGGAAGTAGGTGGACATTTCAACCTTGGTAGGTGTTGCTGCCTGGGGGCTAGGTAGTTAGAAAGGAATGCACACGGTGCTTTAGGGGGCACGGTAGACGGGTCTTTTGAAATGCAGGGTATGAGTTCCTGGTGGGAGATTCTCAACTTGCTATCCCAAAGACATAAGCTGAAGTGTGGGTCTTTGCCTCCTCAGGAAGTAAAACTATGACATCTTCTTGGAGATAGCATCACAATAAAGGTAGACCATGATTAACTGTTTAGATTTTCAGGTTAAAATCCTTTTTGTTCTTTGGAAGGAAGGAAATAAAGTCTGAGTAGGCACGTCTCAGAGAGGCAGGCTGTGCACACGTGCACGGCAGCTGTCCAGACTGCGTGGAATAGTTCTGGTTCAGATTGGAGGAACGGTTTGTGAGGTGCTCTTGCTAAATAATTTAGAAAGATTTGATTATGTCTCTTCAAGAAGCAAATCTGACACATCTTGCCAAGATAACACTTTGCTCTTCTACCTATGGCTGCCGGAATTGGGAGATCTGAGACCTGAAAGTGTAGTTGGATAATGGGAGGAGAGCATGCTAAGAGGTGTCTTAACTACTATGCCAATAATCATCCCTTACATTTGTCAAATTAAAACAGAATTCTAACACACATGTGGGTAAGATATCCCATTTCTCACAATCTCTCAATGCTTTTCCCCATGACGGGTTTGTCAACCACGTGAAACAAAGTTCAGGATTAATGTTTGGGGATGAAGGAAGCCTTGGTCTGTTGTCTCATCAACTCATTATTGTGCCATTTTAAAGAATAATCAGCCTGGTTCTTCACTAACATTTTTAAAATTGACCTATGAATCAGTTTACGCCCTTTCTCTAATGTTTATTTGCTTTGGAAATCTATATTCCTTGAGTGGCACAAAGAATGTGAAAAGTTTCCTCCACACATACTCCTAGTGGTTTAATATCTGTAAGCCATGTAGATGTTAGGAGTCATGTCATTTTTTAAAGATTTATTTGTTTTTACTTAAAAGCCACAGTTACAGAGAGGGAGACAGAGACAGAGATCTTCCATCCACTGGGTCACTCACCAAATAATTGGGATGACTGGAGCTGGGTTTATCTGAAGCCAGGAGCTTCTTCCAGGTGTTCCACATGGGCACAGGGGCTCAAGAACTTGGGCCATCTTCTGCTGCTTTCCCAGGCCATAAACAGAGAGCGAAATAGGAAGTGGAACAGCTAGGATATGAACCAGTGCCCATATGGGATGCCGACGCCGCAGGTAGAGAATTAGTGTGCTACACCACCATGCTGGACCCATTATGTCATCTTTTAAGTTTTAGTAACTCAGTCTCAGGATTTGGGTAGCTCAGGCTTAAATTTCTTTTGCATAATCTTTCTATACCCATGTATTTGCCTTTTTAAAATTTGTAGCATTATGCCAGATAAGCCAGTCAGTAGTATGAAGTTATACACAAGTGGAATAAACAGGTGATATTTCTTTATTTTAGGCCAAAGAAGAGGATTTAAATGCATTCAGTGCCGCAGACCTGAAGGATCTCTCTTCTCATCAGCTGAACGAGTTTTTGGCACACGTGCTGCAGAGAGTAAGCACCACCCAGAGCCTTAGGAAGGAAAGTAGACACAGGGCCATGGCATTTGTGTTGTCCTCATCTTAGAACAAAAATGATTCATGAGGAAACAAAACAGAGGAAATCGTTTATGACATTCAGTCACAGATTTAACAGCACACTGATTGAATGCTGTGTTGAATATAAAAATCTGTAGAAGACATATCCTGTCCTCACAAAGCTTCCAATCTAGTAGAAAGGGGAATGAATGCATCACATGCAGCATTTAGCAAGAAAAAGAGCGGTATTGTAGTTATCATTTGGAAAACCTTCTTAGTGGAGAAAGATTCCCTTCCACCCCAAGTCCTCCCCGAAGGCATTTTGGAAGAGTAGGGCCTGAGCTGAGCAAGTGGGAACTGCAGTGGGAGGGAGCAGCTATGGCCAGAACATACCTGTCTCCCCGGAGTGAGCACTGGGCAGGGCCAGAGGGCAGCTGAAGAAAACACTGGTAGATGGATGGGTTGGGAGCATCGGGGCGATGGATCTTGAATGCAAAGCCACAAATTGTAGATTTTATTCAGGTCAGTGGGAAAGGATTTGAAAGATGCAAGGACAGAGTCCCTTAGTGAAATGCTGTGTTTTTTTGAAAGCTAATCTGTTGGGTGGTGTGACGTGCGTCTTGTGGTGAAGGTTACTGGGGACCTGGTGGAGGGTGAGTGAGCTGCAAGGTCAGGAAATCAGAGAGACCACATGGAGGAGAGCGGCAGGGGGTATGACAGACTGGCTTTGGGGGTTAACAAGAAGGAGCCCAAGCAGATATTAAAGTTTAAAATCCTGGTTGCTGTCAGAGTACAGGATACAGAAAGGAGCCACTGCCTTTCAGTGGGACATTGGAGAGGACTCAGGGCTGAAGACCCGGAAAGTATGGAGGTGATTTGGAGCAGAGGATTCTGGGAAATTGATACTGGCATGTGGAGGCAGCTTTGGAGACAATCATCAGAGTTAATGAGTCTGTCACTTCTGTGTGGCCCAGGGCCAAAAAGGAGAGAAATTTCAGAAATGAGCTCTGGAAAAGCATGAAGCTTTAGAGGTGACCTTAGCCATGTGGCTTGCCAGGGTACATTTGAACTTGAGTGTGTCCACAAAGGGGCGCAATGGTCCAGAGGATTTGGGGTTGCCCTAGCAGTGAATGCAAGCAGAGATGGTTAGTGAGTGCGGAGTGAGATGTGTGTGACGGAAAGTGGCCGTGGCCTTGGGAGTCATCGTGTGCCTCTGCAGTTCTCATAGTACCCTGAGACTGCCTGTCCTAACCAATCGACCAAACCCTTCTTTCTGTCCTTCACCCAAATGGGTCCTCTCTGGAGTGTGGGTTAAGTGGGGGGCATACGAAGTCTGTGAACCCTTGGCTGAAGTTTGCATTTATGTGGTAAATGTAATTCCCACCTCTGACCCAAGACAGGTTCCATATTATTGATCAGATGCTCAGAGGTCATTCATTTCTATAAATACAGGAGTTGAAGAACTGCTTTTACATAGGCCTACAGATCATTTCCAAGAGAGTCCAGAGGAAACACATAAAGCTGGGTGGACTCAGGGAATACCAAGGAGCTCAGAGAATAAATGTGAGATGTACAAGGAACAGGGAAGAACTTGAAAGGAAAAGGCTGTGAAAGGGACTCCCAAGATAAACTAGACCATTTGGGGAGCATAATTCTCCTTTAATTCTGGAGCACCCCACACAGTAAATCATGCCTCTGCTCTCCATAAACACATCCTCACCCAGAGGAAGCCTGCAAAAAATTTCTGTTTTTAGTACGTACTTGCACCTTATTAGCTAACTGATTTCTGTACTATCGACCATTTAGGTTTTTAATCCAACTAAGACTTTTTCTCCAGCTCCTTTCTTCCAAGGAATCCTGTTGAAATGATACGTTATGCTTCTTTATTTTGCTCTTAGGCACCTCTTCCATTGGGGCACATAAAGCGAATGCAAGAGGTGTACAACTTGAATGCCATTAACAATTCTGAAATACGATTCAGGTACTACATCATTTTAACTTGTCTCTGTGGAAGAAAGTATAAAAGAGTTTGAAAGGTGGAAAAAAGGGAAAGCTAGGTGCCAGATATCCACGGGGCCTGAGAAATCCTTGGCAAATATCCTCCACTTATATCGGTGACTGTAGTGCTACTTAAGGAGTAGTTGTAATATTTGTAAGAGGATAGCATTAGTCTATTATGTTAGACATTGCATTAAGCTTTTGTTGCCTTAAAAAGTCATTAGAATGAAGGATTCAGTGGTTAAGCAGTTTCCACAACCAGCCAAATTGAGTCTGAAGTAGATTTCTTAGAAACCTTTGATTCTGTTATATATTATCTCCCTTAATTCAGTTTGTAGTGTGAGGCTTAAACCAGTTTAAGTTCTTCAGAAATGACATAAGGTACATGAGCACCTACACAATTCAAACTTCTTAAAACATATTTCTTGAAAACAACAACTCCTCTTCCCTCTTTTTCTCCAGTTATTAAGTCCGTGTAAGGCTTTGAGATTCGTAGCATGAAGGCAGTATCAAATGGTGCACAGTATAACTGATGGGATGGTGCAAATTTATAGAAGTGATGTTCAGGCTGCAGTGTCATTTTCTGCTTCCCACCATCTACCCTGCATCCCCTTACAATCCTTCTTACAGATGGTTACGGCTCTGCATTCAATCGAAGTGGGAGGAAGCAATTCCATTGGCTCTAAAAATGGCGACTGAACAGGGAAGAATGAAGTTTACACGGCCTTTATTCAAGTAAGAATCCAATCTGTTTTGAATCTTTGTGAGGAACAAAAATTTTAAACATTTTGTTATTGTTAAAATGATATCCAAGTATTAGGGTTTTTTTTCAAATCTTTTACAGTTCAAAGATAAAATGTTGGAATAGGAATTCAGACGTTGCTATGTAACTTCATTGGCTCTTTCAGCAGCATTGCATATGGGGTACCTGTATGGGCCAAATGGAATCAGACTCTGATCAAAAGGAGATAAGTCAGTCTTAGATACACAGAAGGATTTAAAAAACAATCAAGTAACATTTAATTGGCAAGCAGGTGTGAAAAGAATCTGAAATTAGAGTCAAAGAGAAATGAGCAGATGAAGTCAAGTCTTTGGATTTAAATGCTGCTGAATAATTGAAGTGGTCAGGACAATTTTTAATGAATTTTAGTATTTTCATGTTCTTGAAATCTTGATTTAAGAAAAAGCTTTTAAAAGTAATTGTTTTTTGAAGATTAATTGATTTTTATTGGAAAGTCAGATGCAAAGCAAAGAGGAGAGACAGAAAGATCTTCCATACATTGATTCACTCCCCAAGCAACTGCCATGACCCGAGCTGAGCAGATCTGAAGCCAGGAACTTCTTCCAGGTCTCTCACATGGGCGCAGGGTCTCAAGGCTTTGGGCCGCCCTCTATTGCTTTCCCAGGCCACAAGCTGAATGGGAAACAGGGCTACCAGGACACAAACTGGCGTCAGTATTGGATCCCGGTGCATGCAAGGCGAGGACTTTAGACACTAGGGTACTACACTGAGCCCTAAAAGTAATTTTTGAAGATTTCTTTTATTTGGGAGAGTTACAGAAAGAAAGACATTTTCCAGCTGCTAGTTCACTCCCAGAATGGCTGTTAACAGCCAGGGCTGTGCTAGGCCAAAGCCAGGAGCCAAAAGATTCTTCTTGCTCTCCCAGGAGCTTATGTAATCTTTCTCTGCTTTACTGCCACAGCACCAGCTCCCCCAGAAAGTGATTTCTTAGAAAGGCAGCCTTAAGAGAGACTCTCAAACAGGACTGAGACTTAGCTTGTAGGTGGGAGGACCCTGCTCAAGTAACCATGCTGCAGTGCACGTTGGCGTCCATCACCTTTTGGCCCTTCCCCGTGACCCTCAGCCCGACAGTGCCATATCTGTGGCAATGCAGGAGGCCTCAGATCTTGCAGCAGGGCCTCAGCCTCTCACTGGCTCAAACTGCCTTATTTGGCTGATCTTTGGCTGTCACTCATGCTCACATCCTTTTCTTTTGGTTTTCAATTTAATTTTAGTTTGTTTTTTTAATGTAGTAACTGTGGACGAGCACATCTCCGTGGGATGCAGTGATATTTAGATACCTTTTTATATAGTGTCATGGTCGACTTGGGCTATCAGCTGTTAATTCTCTCAAACACCATTCCTCTGGGATCCTCCCCTCTAGCCCTGGAGTTAGGTGACACAGTCTCCCCGCTCTGCGTCCTGGAGTATCAGAACTTTGTCCTGCTCTAGGACACAGCGCCCTTTGACATCATCGCACACATTGACATAGATTCTTGTTCTTCCCCTGCCTCCTTTGGTCTCCCGTTCTTGGATCGCCTCCCTGCCTCCATCTCTCCTATTTCCTCTCTCTTCCCTCTTTGTTTTTGCAGGGACCTTGCTGCTTTTGACAAGTCCCACAATCAAGCTGTGCAGACATACCTGGAGCACAGAGCCAGTATGCACCCTGTCACTGCGATGCTGGTGGGGAAGGATTTAAAATTAGATTAAGGATCTGCTTCTGGCTTATTTTGGAGATTGGTCTTTTTAAGAGTGAATTCCTAAAGAAACAGATACTTCAGTTTGCATTGTAGTTGAAAATGTCTTTTTAGGTTTGGCTTTTTATTGAGTGTCCATGATTTTACTAAATAAAGTTAAACTGCCTTTTTTTTTAAATGATGACATGTTCTTTATAAGTGTAGGAAAGGCTTAATCTTTTGATTTAGTAAGTTTTAAAACTTTAAATGAGCTCCATATTAGTTTCTTCTAGTATGATCGCAAAATATGTCAGGTTGTATACATGTTCTTTCATTTGAATCTGCTGCAAATTCAAAGTTTAACACGATGAGAATTTTGTTTTTTAAAAAAAATAAAACAGAACTCTGCTTTGCTGGTTTACAACCCAAATGCCTCCAGTGGCCACAGCTAGGCTGACTAATGAGAATTCAGTGTGTTTCTCCCACATGGGTAGCAGGAATCCTCCATAAAGTTTGTGTTAGCAGGAAGCTGGAGCAAGGAATCAAAGCCAAAATCAAACCTGGGGATTTTGCTGTGGAGTGCCTGCCCTGAATTCTGCTTTAGAAGTAACCCGAAACCTGAATACTCACTCCCCTCCTGGTAGAGATAAGACAATGTCACTTACCAAAATACCTCTGGTAGGAGCTCTCTGCTGTCTGTTCCTGGGTCCATCCTCCTGACGCAGGGGACTTCCCAGGGAACAGATAGCCGCCCTGAACCTCAGCCTCCCACCCCCAGTCCTTCCGGTAGCTTCTTCTCCTCAGTGGTCAGCAGATGGACTTCACCCACCTGGAACATACAACACATTGAGGCATCTACTGACAGTAGATGGGCTCAGTGAAAGGCAATAAGAACCAAGCCACACATGAAGGCAGTGCAGCACTGTCTAGCTCATGGACAGTTGGAGAACCACAGCCATATTCGTTAGGATTCTTTGCCAACAGCAGGAACCCACATGGCTGGAAGTCAGAAAGGGAAGGCATTATTTGCAGGGTACAAGGTGGATGCTGAACACCACCTCTGTGATTCTCCTGTCTACTGTCAACTTTGCTGATGTGTCTTACACAGTCTGGACACCTGCCAGCTCTACTTTTGCAAATGATTCTTGCCACATAGACAGACTGTCGCAATTCCAGATTCCCAGAGGTGAGATTCTGACTTGGGTTGGATCCACCCATGACCCAGTAAGTTCCAGCTGTGAAGAATGGTGTATTAAAAGTGTAAGTATGGGCGTGTCTTCCACCAGATACCCTCCAAAAGTGCCCATGCAGTGTTCAAAGCCTTAATAAACTAACTGAGAAGTGAATATCTGGAAGATTGGACAGGTACCCAAAGGTCAAATTCCAGCCTAACCCCGAAACTCTGTGTCGTCTGCCTTGTTCATTCACCCTGGCAGTCATTTCTTTCTGGAGAGTTGCCTACACTGTAATGGGATTCTGCTGCTCTGATTCTGGTCTCCCTTGTCTTCCTCACCAGGAATACCAGAGCAAGAGAATATTCAGTTCCCCTGTTATAATCACATTTCTGACAGCTTGCATTTCAAGTCCATGTACACAGATAATGCTTTTAAGGCTGCTTCTGCCCTGTGAGCTTAGGAGACAACTGGAAGCTACTGCCAGTTTTTCAGTTACCATTCAATGATACTGAAAGCCAGGAGTGCTTGAGGGTGCTGTGGAAGGGAAGGGGGCACTAGAGACAACTTACCCTACTTACAGGTTTATCTAAGGCCAGTTCAGGGGAGTTCATATTGATTTGGTCCAGCTAATAAGCATATGCAGAGTAGCTTTATGCTAGGTCAGGTGCAATTACTGGCTGAACAAAGATTAAAATAATTTTTTGGGAGAGATGGAGCTTCCAACCCCTAACTCATTACCCCTCTGTAGGCAGGGCTGGACCGAGCCAACAGCCTAGAATTCTATTCAGGTCTCCCAGGTAGAACTCAGGAACGCAAGCATATGAGCCAATACCCCCTGCCCTTTCCTGAGCAAGAAGCTAGGTCAAAAATGAAATAGGGCTCAAACTAGGCACTCCAATTTGGGATGCAGCCATCCCAAGGGTGGCTTAACCCACTGACCACAGTATCCACACATTCAAGAAGTAATTCATTTTTAAAGAAGATTTTCTGTTTTTATTTGGAAGGGTCGAGTTACAGAGAGAAGCAGAGACAGATAAGTAAACTTTCATCCATGGTTCGCTTCCCAAATGGGCATGACAACTGGAGCTGGGCTGATATGAAGCCAGAAATGAGGAGCTTCTTCCAGGACTCCACGTGGGTATAGGAGCCCAAGGATTTGAGCCATCTTTTGCCGCTTTCCCAGGCCATAAGCAGGGAGTTGGATCGAAAGTGCAGCAGCTAAGATATGAACCGACACCTTTATGGGAAGCTTATGCTGCAGGCAGAGGCTTAGCGTACTACACTACAGCACCAGCCCCAAGTAATTCCTATATGATGTTAAAGAAGAACTGTTAAAATAGTTTTTTATAAAAAGCAACTTGCCCTAACCAAAAAGTTAAGGTAAGTAAGTTAAGGTAAGTCCTCAAAGGCCTTCTGGGTTTTAATAACATGACTTATGATCCATATAAAATTATCAGCTTAAAATTAAACAACTTCAGATTTACTAAATTTATTGAAAGCCACACTGAATGACTTTGTGGACATTCTGCAGCCCATGCTGGACTTTCCCTGCATGTGGCCCAAGCTCAGATTACAGAAAACAAGAAATACCAAATATGGAAAGTGTGTTTCAGGTGGGAAAATAATTAACACGTTGTTCTACAATGTCTAGGGCCTGCCCGAATCCTCAGGTAGCTGGGAGTTACTTGAATTACTGGAAGTTTGTATCTGAAAGCTTTTTTTCTCATGTCTAATGTCTGGCTTATTCAAAAGCTGAGCTCAGCATAATTGGGAGTGAGTAGTTTCCTGTTCTTGCAAGTCTGAATCACCAGACAAGAAGCACCATGAGAGTGGGGAATGTCTTCTTTCATCCCCAGCACTTGGTATGGACTTTAATACATAACAAGGGTTTAAGAAATAGACTGTCATTTCAAAAAGTTCATGGCAAATGGAATTAAAAGTATAATTTTTGGTGGGAAAAATTAAAAGCCACGCATGCATGCTCAAAAAGAGAATGCAAGTATGAAAACTGCATGGATTTCAACTTTTTGCACCCCAAATAAATAGCATGTGTTTTTGCTATTGAAGAAGCAAAGAGATGGTGAACAGAGTTCCCGTGCATTCATTCACTCCCCAAACTCGTGTGAATTCTGAGGCTGACCTAGAGCTGGAGCCACGTGACTGATGGAGATGCCAACTCCTAAGCCATCACCGTGACCTCCCACAGTCAGTGGCAGCAGGGAGCTGGAGTCAGAATCCAGGCCAGGCACTTAGTGGTTTTGTATAGTATAGAGTTGGCTTTACTGGCATCATATCCACTCCAATTTAATCCCAATTTCTCCGTAAACATTTTGAGCACCTTTGTGTTTGTTGGATGAGTGGTTGACAGAGGACAGAAAGTTAAGGTGGTTCTTGTCTGAAAGCTTCTGGCTCCCCGGCAGTGTAGGAGGTGGTATCTTCTGAGACACAGTGGAGATGGATGATGGGAAGATCCTAGGGGAGGGATGAAGGTTTTGGAAGCAGAGGGAGAGGCATAAAGTACAGGACTCCATGGCAGGGTTGCCTTTGCTGTGATGATCTAGGGGATGCTACAGGCATAAATGTAAAGTTGTAAAGAATTTTAAGGCCTGGCATGATAGCCTAGTGGCTAACATCCTCACCTTACTTGTACTGGAATCCCATATGGCCACTGGTTTGTATCCCGGCTGCTTTACGTCCCATCCAGATCCCTGCTTGTGGCCTGGGAAAACAGTGGAAGACTGCCCAATGCCTTGGGACCCTGCACCCATGTGGGAGACCCAGAGGAGGCTTCTGGCTCCTGGCTTTGGATTGGCTCAGCTCCAGCCATTGCGGCCACTTGGGAAATGAACCAGCAGGTGGAAGATCTTTCTCTGTGTAAATCTGTCTTTTCAATAAAAAGAAATCTTTTTTTTTTTTTTAAGATTTTTTTAAGTACTAGGAAAGATGGCTCAGGAGTACTGTGGGAGGACCAGCTTTCTAGGACAGTAAATGAGGAAACTGATGGGAAGTTTGGAGTGACAAAGGACTACCTGGAGGTCAGGTCTAAAGGCAGAGATGACTGAGGGAAAGGAAGAACTTGAAGGCTGGAGGGCCATGGTCAGAGGATAACATTGGAGCTGAGAGCAGGTATGTGTCAAATATAGGTGATACCAGATTCCAGGCTGCAGTTAAGGTGTGACTAGCTGAAGGACAAGTTTCAATAAGGCTCTAGGAGGGGTAGCTTCTCATTTGTACTACTTTAGGAAGTTGTCATTAAGTGTGGGTATATGTGGGTTTTTAGCTGGTTGGCTGGTATTTGTGAGAAACTGTCTATTCTCAGTGACACTTCTGGACACAGACATCTATGGAGTTGTGATTGCATTAATCAAATCTCTAGAAAGTGACTTTTCATTAATATGCTGCTTATTTAAAACAATGCTGAGTACAGGGCTGGAGTGGGGGCTGTGTTCTGGTCTGGATATGGCTGCAGTTTCCCTTGGCACAAGTGTGGACTGGGGCTGGGCACACCAAGCCAGGTCAGACTCCAGCGTCATCTGGTGCTCTGGAGAACCTGGGTACATGTAGGATGGACTAGGCTAGGTCTCTGCCCCTACTGAGCCATGTGTGAGCAGTGTCTGGGTATGGACAAGCCTTGGCTGGGCTGAAACATCCAACAGTAAGAACCAGAATGGAGTGAAGGCCAGTCAGGAAAGGCCACTGTTGCTGCCAGGACAGGAGGTGGGCTAAGTAGGGCTGGCACATTGACCCAACAATATGTGCAAGATCTGGCATAGGAAGAGGTTCTGATGGAGGAGCTTGGGAAACTCCTCAGGCAGGACACAGTCCCTGCAGGTGAGTACAAGAACCAGGATAGGGAGTAACCCAGACCAGGCTAGGGAAAGGTATCCACTGGCATACATTTGGCACAGGTCAGGGGTGGATCAGGCTGAACCAGTTCACATTACCCGCTGATGAATCCAAGCACCAGAACAGAGTGTGGGTCAGGCCTGGTATGGTCGCAATACATATCAGCACACATGGCTGGGACTAGGTGCCGGCTGGGCCGGGCTGGGCTGGAAAGTCGGGCTCGTTGGTTGAACTAGGCTTCAATGCCCATTGACATGTGTAAGAGCTGAATGAGATATAGGACAGACTGGACAAGTCTGCTGTATGTACTGGCAAGCACAGGTACCAGCTTAGGGGGCAGACCTGGTGGGGGTTATTGGGAGTTGCCTTGACTAGGCTGCAGCTCCCTCTGGTTTGTGTGAGGGCTGAGTGTATGGAGGGAAGAATCAGGCTGGACTGCAACACCCATTGATTCATATGGAAGACAGGCCTGGAAACAACTGACCCAGCAATTGCAAGGACCAGCATGTGCATAAGCTGATTGGGGTAACAGATTGTGCTGGACCCTGTACTAACATTCACACACAGGAATGAGGTCTGGAATCACTTCAGATGAAATTTCTTTGGGGATCATTCTAACTGAACTGCTGATCTCAGAACACCAATCATGAAGAGAATTGCAGGTTCCATGGTCTGACCATGGAGTGCATGTGTCAAAGCTGAGCCTCCTCAGAGGCTCAGATGGAGCAGTGTACAGCATATCCAGGTGCGCATGGAAGATATGGCAGTCCATTGGAACCTGCTGAGGACACCTGGTACTACAACAGAGGACATAGGACAGAACAAATTGATCATCTGCCCCAGCCATGTGTTGGCAGTGAATACCTGGGCAAACAGAAACTCTAAGATGGACTATGTCAGCCAGTGGATTCTGGAGAGATTTCATTGTACTTGAAATGGCGAGATTGGCAGCAATTCAGAACTATTGAATTATCAAAACCACTTGAGCAGTGCCCTTGGGAGCATGCCTCATGTTGGGGACCTGGATGGATGGGGTGGCAGTTTGGGTGTGGCTTCTCCCTTTGTCTCCCTCCTTACCCCAGACACAGAAAAAAAAATAATGTGGAAACAATGGTCTTACCCACTTTCCTGTAGCCCTTGACCCTTTGTGCCCTAATCAACTATGTAAAGATTATCAAAATAAAATAATTACAGTAAATAAATAAAATTGTGGAGCCAGGATTTGCTCTAAAGTAGACATCATGAATTACTGCACTGGTGTTATATTATGGTCCCTCAGCTTTTGGATAAGGAAACAGAAGCCCCTAACACACCTGTTGGAAGTTGATACCCCAAGTTCCCACAGGCTCATTTGTCCAGACAATGACCTTCAGTTGTGAAAATGTCCTCTGGCCCCTGTGCTCCCTCTGTGCTGAGCAAGAGCTTCCAAAGGCCTAATGGGTGGCAGAGCGCAGTTGCTCAACAGGTGTTTGTGGAATAAACAAATGAAGACAGATTACCACACTCCTTGGTGTCACAGTTGGCCAGCAGAGTGCATTTTACCATTGAGTAATTCCAGAAAAACACAGGAACATGATGTTTATAAGCTGCTCCTCCTCATTAGCAGATAGAAACCAGCACAGAGGGGGGCTTGCAGCGCAAGCTAGAAGGGGCTCAGGTCCTCGGGGTAGGAAACTTCCGAACTTTAGTGCCAGCAGGGCTGGATGGCAGATGGAAGGTGGCCCACCTACATGCATTTGCTGTTCCTGCCCCTCACTCCGTTTTCAAAAATCAAAGGAACACCTGAACCTCTGATAAATATTTATCTACCACCTGAATGAGTGAAGGCGAGGGAGGGACAGTGTTGTGAAAGTTCATCTTGACCACACCCCAGCTGTCACTCCCAGATAAAACTTGGCTCCCAGAGTGTCTCATCCCGGGCCGCAAGGGCTACAGCAGCAGAGCCATGCCCAGGTACACGGTACATGTGCGTGGGGAATGGTTGGCCGTGCCATGCCAGGACTCGGGGCTCACGGTGGGCTGGCTGGGTCGCGAGGCTGTGCGGCGCTACATGAAGAACAAGCCTGACAATGGCGGCTTTGCCTCAGCCGACACTGTGTGCTTCCTTGTGCGCCGGTGCAAGGGCCTGGGGCTGCTGGACAATGAAGACCTGCTCGAGCTGGCTCTGGAGGACAATGAGTTCGTAGAAGTGGGTGAGTGGCTGGGGGTGGAAGAAGGGGCGCTGACTGCTGCGCGCCCTGGCCAGGCTTCATCCTCCCCACAACCCCGGGGTGGGGGCGTGATTCTGTTTCCTTACCTCCCCTTCAGGAAGAGGTGGGCTTGCTGGTGGTTTGCTCTGTGTAGGCACCTGCCACACCTCTGGGGCTCTGTGGTTTTCACACAACCCCAGGAGATAGGCAGGATTCCCAGTCCCCTTTGATGGTCTGTGAGAAGAACAACCTGGAGGAGGTGCCTTCCCCAGACTCAGCCAGCTGGTCAGAGGCATAGGCTGGATTAGAACCCTGAGAGTGCACGTCTGATTCTTTTTGCAGTCACTGAGACATTCTAAAGGTCTTTTGGTCCTTCCAAAGAACCCAGCAGACTGGAGGCAGGTATAGCACAGATTAAAAGGAGCTGAACCTGGGGATGGAGGGTGGTGGTAAGAGGTAGATCTCCAACTTGGCGTTGCATCCCCAGTGTCTACCTCGCTGCCTTTTGCTCTCCTTTGTAAACATACTCAGAGCACTTGAAAGTATTTGGCATTGAAGCAGGCATTTTTGTGAAAGTCAAGGGCAATTCATGAGTGTTTTCTCAGCGGATAGACAACTACACCCCAGCTGTCATTCCCAGATTAAACTCTCTGCTCCCAGGAGTGTCCCATCCTGGGGCCGCAAGGGAGAGCCACTATGTGTGGCTTTCCAGGGTGATTTGTAAGGACACCCCCTTGTATTCTCGTTCTAGTCATAGAAGGCGATACCATGTCCCCCGACTTCATTCCATCTCAGCCAGAAGGCGTCTACCTGTATCCTTTCCTACCAGCTTTGTGCTCTGCTTTGGGCGGGGGAGTGGTGTGGGAGGAAGGTGGACGCAGGGGGCCCCTCTTGCCAGCCATGGGGCTGGGGTTTTGCCACCCTAACCAATGTTTGCCTTTACGTGGCTTCAGATACAGCAAATACCGGGAGCCCGAAAAGGTAAGCTGCAAACCACTTGCTTTTTGCCAAGAAAATTCAGTCTCTCCCATTTAAGGTGCAAGAGGGCTTGGCAAAAATTTCTGAGCAAATGCAGGACCAGGCTCCAGTCAACTCTACAGCCGGGAACGGGGACAAGGAAATGCATGAGGATGTTTTTCCTCAGCCTCTTATGGAACACATTCAGGTTGCACAAGTGATCAAATGTCCCAAGTTTGGTTTTGCGAGAGCCTTCCTGATCTCTTGTTAGAGCCACAAGGTCATTCCCCATCACAGAGATTTTCTTCTTTCATGCAGTACATCGCTTTAGATGGAGATAGTCTGACCACAGAGGATCTGGTCAACTTGGGAAAGGGACATTACAAAATCAAGGTATGGAGGAAAGGTATGGAGGAAAGAGGGAGGCAGGGAGGGTGAGAGCAAGGCAAGCCCTCTGGGCATTTGTGCTGCGCAGAGAAGTCTTTAACATGCCCAGTTTGGACCAACCTGTTTCTAGCTCACCCCAATTGCTGAAAAGAAGGTGCAAAAATCCAGGGAGGTCATAGACAGCATCATCAAAGAAAAAACAGGTATTGTTCTCTTTAACTTATAAAATCCTTTTCATACACACATGGAAATCTATCATATCTGATTGTACAGTGTTTGTTTTTTTATTCTAGTTGTTTATGGAATTACCACTGGTTTTGGGAAGTTTGCCAGGACTGTCATTCCCATTAGTAAGCTACAGTAAGTTGAAAACACATGTTGTCTTCAGGTTCCACCTGTCATCATCTTTGGTAGAGTAATTCTCATTGGCCCAGTTTATACATGAGCAGAGTGGAGACTTGGGTTCAATGGCAGAAAAAGGAATTGACATTGAAAACACGGGCTGGCCGGCTTTATTCATTGCATCTGGCTACCGTGCATCCCTTGTCAAGATGGAACCATGCTTCCCTTCATTTTCCCAGTGGAAGGGACATTTTCACTGCAACAAATCTGAGAGCTTTAATTTTTCTCTTCCAGGGAGCTTCAGGTCAACTTAGTGCGATCACATTCTGCAGGTAAATCACGCCAAGTCCTGGGTGCCTCCTACATCCAGTCGGATCTGATGTATAACACAGAGCACAGTGTGAGTCAGCTGGAAATAGGTGGTGCACAGCAAGGACTAGGTGCAGGGTGTAGGAGGTAAAAAGGAAGCAGAGCATCAGGCAAGAGCACCTCTCAGTTGAGCCCCAGGGAAAGGAATGAACTAAGGTGGAAGAACCAGGAGGGACAGGAGCACACATCCCATGCTGCAGAGAAAATCCTGAGCATTCACAGGAGGAAATGAAGGCTGGCATTCGGGCCATGAATTTGGATGCATGATATGGTCAAGACTTAGCACTCCTCCAATGGGGATGTAGTTGGCAATGGAATCTGGATACTGTTCTTTAGGAATTTGGGAACTGGGGGATCCCAGACACTTTCCAGGGATAGGAAGCTGAGAAAACAAAGGTGGGACTTTTACCTTTGTCTGGAATGGGCAGGCAGGAAGGAGAGAGGACAGCTGACTGTGGGGAGGGAAGAGTTGAGAGGTGGAGGTAGAAAGTGTTGTGGTGTTCCTGGCAAAAGCATCCATTGTGTTTTGCAGGTGTTGGGAAGCCCCTTAGCCCTGAGAGGTGTCGCATGCTTTTGGCTCTAAGGATCAATGTCTTGGCTAAAGGATACAGTGGCATCTCTCTGGAAACACTCAAGCAAGTCATTGAAGTGTTTAACGGTAATGCAGGGGGTCCCAGACCCGCCTCTCACTGCGGTGCCCTTAGATACAGAGGGGCTGGCTGGGATAAGAAGACAAAGTAAATGAGATGAGTGGGTTGGTAGAAGGCACAGGTGGGGGGGGTGGTGGAGATGGCTCCTCCCTTGATGGCTACTCATTCTCATCACCCTTCACATTGCGTGTGGCATCTTTTTTTTTTTTCTATTTTGCAGCAAACAGTAAAACTTTACCGAGAGAATGTTAACAGTTCCAGATTAGAACAGCTTATGCAGTTTCAGTCTTTATTGTTCTTCTTGCAAGCCTATGGTTATTGCACCCAATCTGCTGCTGGCACTTCAGCGTTCTCTGACTTTGGAATTCTAATCAGAGTATTTAGGATTGTCTCGAGACTTCTCTGTTTCCTTTCACCAGTTTCCTTTCATCTGATTTCCCATCAGGTCCTGCATCCATCATGTCTTCTTCACTTTCAAGCTTCTGAGTCCTTGGAACATCCTCATGCTCCGACAGTAGCTCCTCTTTTGGAGGGTTTTCTTCCCTTTGGCCTTGGCCTCTGCTATCCAGTTGTCCCAACAGCATTTGTTGAATAGACCAGGACTTTCCCCCTGGATTGTTTTCAATTTTCTTGTCAAATATTAGTTGGCTATACATGTGTGGGCTCCCTTCTCGTGTTTCTATTCTGTTCCATTGATCTTGTGTGTTTCTGTATCAGTCTGTTTCGATGACCACTGTTCTGCAGTATGTCTTGAGGTATGGAATTGTAATTCCTCCAGCTTTTTATTCTTCAGGATTGCTTTGGCTACTCATGGTCTCTTGTGTTTCCAGATGAACTTTTGCATCTTTTTTTTTCTATCTCTGAGAAGAATGTTGTTGGGATTTTGATTGGGTTTGCATTGAATCTGTATGTTACATTTGGTAATACGCTCATTTTGGTGATGTTGATCCTGCCAATCCAGGAACATGGCAGGTTTCTTCATCTTTTAATGTCTTCCTCTGTTTCTTTCTTTTTAAAAGATGTTTTATAGTTTTCATTATAGAGGTCTTCCACATATTCGGTTAGATTAATTCCAAGGCATTTAAGATTCCTTTCCATTATTTTAAAGGGGACTGTACTTACAATTTCTTTCTCAGCCATACAGTTATTTGTATATGCTAGTGCAACTGATTTGTGTTCATTATTTTTGTATCCTGCTACCCTGACAAAGTGTCGTATGAGTTTCAGTAGTTTCCTGACTAAGTCTTTTGATTCTTCTATGTAAAGAATCATGTCATCTGCAAACAGGGATAATTTTAATTTCTCATTTTTGTTTGAATTCCTCTAATTCGTTTTTCCTGCCTAATAGCTCTGGCAAGGACTTCCAATACTATATTGAATAGCAGTGGTGAAAGTGGACATCCTTTTCTAGTTCCATATCTAAATGGAAAAACTTCCCATTTAGTATGATGCTGGTGTTGGGTTTTTGTATATTGCTTTGATTGTGTTATAGAATGTTCCTTTAATGCCTATCTTGATTAAGGTGTTTAGCATCAAATGGTGTCAGATTTTATCAAATGCCTTCTCTGGATCTATTGAGAAGATCATATGGGTTTTTTCAAATTCGTTGATGTGGTGTGTCACATTTATTAATATGTGAATGTTGAACCATCCCTGCATGCCTGGGATAAATTCCACCTGGTCTGGGTGAATGATCTGCCTGTTGTGCTATTGGATCCTGTTGGCTAGTATTTTGTTGAGGATCTTTGCATCTATGTTCCTCAGGAATATCAGACTTTCTCCAAGATTGACCATGTTTTAGGTCATAAAACAAGCCTCAGCAAATTTTTAAAAATTGAAATTATACCATGCATCTTCTCAGATCATCATGGAGTGAAACTAGAGATCAGTAAATCAAAACACCCAGAAAGACATGCAAATACATAGAGACTGAATAATATGCTACTATATGAGCAATATGTTAGAGAGGAAATCAAAAGGGAAATTTAAGAATTACTTGAAACAAAGGAAGGCATCAACACAACATATCAAAACTTATGGGATATGATCAAGGCAATGTTAAGAGGAAAGTTCATTTCAATCAATGCCTATGTTAAGAAATTAGAAAAGCATCAAGTGAATAAACTAACCTTACAGTTGAAAGAGCTAGAAAAACAACAGCAAAGCAATCCCAAGGTTAGCAGGAAAAAAGGAATAACCAAAATAAGGGAGGAAATAAACCAAATAGAGACCAAAAGAATAATATATAAGATCAATGAATCAAAAAGCTGATTATTTGAGAAACTCAACAAAATAGATTCCCCATTAGTCCAACTAATCAAAAAAAAAAAGGGTGAAAGATACACATAAATAGCATCAAAGATGAAAAAGAAAATATAATAACAGATATCTCAGACCAACATAAAATTATTAGGAACTATTACAAGCAAATATGTCAACAAATCAGAAGATCTAGAAGAGATGGATAGAGTTTTGGACACATACAAGCTACCAAAATTGGATCATGAGGCAGTTAATCATCTAAATAGATCTATAACAAGGACTGAGATTGAATTAGTAATTAAATCCCTCCCTACCAAGAAAAACCCTGGACCAGATGGCTTCACTGCTAAATTTCACCAAATGTTTCAAGAACTTACCCCAATTCTCCACAAACTTTTCCAAATAATGGAAAGTGTGTGTGTGTGGGGGGGTGCAAACCTTCCAAACTCTTTCTATGAAGTCAATATCACCTTAATATCAAAATCAGAGCCACAACAGAAAAAGCATTTGGCATCTTTAAGAGTACAACAAGCCGCTTACATCTGCCTTTAGACTCAGGCTTAGAGAGAAACTTGGATTCAGGGATGTCTGTATGTGGTTAGAAGAATTGGATCATCTGGGGAATATGATTGATAGGTTTGGCTGTTGAATGATGGCTCTCAGAGAGAAGTTCAGCAGTTCTGGCTGCTACCTGGAAACCTGAGATCTCAGCGCTCCTCATGTGATGGAACCCTCAGACTTACACACCGAAATGCCACTTCCTGCAAAGATGGAATAGAAACGCGAAGTGGTTGAGGCCTCGCTAGTAATCATGAAGCTAAGGAGTGGCAGAATTTGTTGCAACGCAATTCATCCCTTTGGTGCTTACTTTTTGGACAGGAAAATTCCGATGTAGGGGCCGGATTTGCAAAGCTTGGGAGGCATCGTTCTTTGTCACTGATAAGGATAATCCTTGTAGGTCAGGGAGGTGCATGGGCTGGGGTAGAAGGGGGAGAGTGGGAGGAGAAGCTGGGCCAGGCAGTCACACCAGGCAGAATACATACTAGAGTGCAAATGACCCATGAATATGAAACGAAAGCCAGTGAACAGAAATCTGAATGAATAATTCATAGTAGAGAGGGCTGAGCTGAACAGACCAGTCGTGATGTCAATCTATTCTCTATTAGCCAGCTCTATTACTGCCCTGATCTGCCCTGCTATGAATGTCAAATCCCACCCAGTACTTCAAGCTTGAGGTTGTGAAAACTTAATGAATGATTCTAAGGCCCTTGGGGTCCCTAGGACCCTGATATGCCCCGAGGACAAACTGCAAATTGCAATCTGTAAACTGGACTTGTACATGGCGCTACTCTCTCCAGTGTTAACAGTTGAAAAAACACTGCTGTCAGTGTCTGATTTTATTTTAGAAAGAAAAAAAAAGTATGGAAAACATTTTTGGTAACATTTTTGGGAATTTCTCACAAAATAATACATTTAATTATAAATGGTGGAAACTGGCAGAATGGGTGGCTAGCAAATAAAAAGGAGACTCATTTGCCACGACTTTACCTTCAGAGAGACCCTGTTAGCATCCTGGTGTCAAGTCTTTGTAGAACATTTCCATATTATGTTCCTACCTAATGTTAAAGAGTTACATATTTCCCAATACTGTCCAGAAACATTTAGTGGCTTCTTAACATTCGGTAACATAAACATGTCTTAACTCCATGTTAGGACCATTTCTAACTTTTGATTCTCACAAACAAGAATGTAAAAAACAACTAGTTCCCAATCTTATCTTTAAGATACACTTGTAGAATTTACTAAGTGAAATTGTCTAGTCAGATGACAGCTTGCACATTTTGAAAACTTTGCTCCTAGAAGGCTCCTTCTCACTTCCTGCTGTCTCTCACTTCCTTTCATCTTCTAACTCCATCCCTCTCTTTCTAAAACAGCTCAGCTGGGCCCCTTAAGCATTAGTTGTACTTGAGGAATTCTCGTTCCCAGGTATTCATGGCCATAGAGTGATGCTAGGTGGTGTGGGGGTGGGGGAGTGGGACTTCACTGCAAAGCGAGACTATGCAGAATGTTGCCTCCATGAAGTAACTCGTGCCTTCTTCTCTCCCAGCCTCCTGCCTGCCCTATGTTCCAGAGAAAGGCACTGTTGGCGCCAGTGGGGACCTGGCCCCACTCTCTCATCTGGCTCTAGGCCTGATCGGAGAAGGGAAGATGTGGTCTCCAAAGAGTGGCTGGGCTGATGCTAAATATGTAAGACTTTTCTAGTAATCTCCACGTGTCATCGTTTCCCTAGGTTGGATATAGGGTGGGTGTAGATGGTTTATAGCACAGCCCCGGCCTCTGTACTATCTTTATGGATGAAACACCTGAAGCTCAGAAGTCAAACTAGGTAAAACTATCAGCATCCATCCCTGAATATTAATCAGCTTTCTAGATTTTGTGATTACTTTTGTGGAAAGTTGATACTCCCAATAAGTTGCTGCCAGAATCTATTGCGAAGATCAGATAGTGTCACAATTTTACTCAGGAGTTCGTTTCATGGGTGCAGAACTGTGTGATCATAGCCCGTTCCACTTTAATTCCAAGTTCCCAAGGCTTGTTTTTCAATAAAACCTCCATGTTTTCCTCACCAATCTCCAAATTCCACAGGAGGAGAGCAAATAATCTGCTAAAATCTTATCTCTGGGCAGTTACTGGGAGGCCCTATAACAAGTGAAAGAGACAAGGAGCTGAGGAGGAAGAAAGGGGTAATGATAGTAATAATAGCAATAACTCAACAGGTTCCAGATGCTCTTTCTGCCACGCAGCCTTACCTCCTAGTCAGCCTGACCTCTCCAAGTAGCAAACCTAGCATGTTCTGGTTAGATCCCTGGATGTTTTTTCCATTATCCATCGATAGAATATAAATGTAAAGGGGCTCACAAGAGCCTTGGTTGTCATGTAATCAATCCCTCGAATCTCTCCTACCCAGAGCTCTCCTGTGCCCTTCTTCCTTGGCTCTTTCCTAAGTTCTTACGTGATTATTTTCCACTGCACCTTTCATAGTCCGTGCATCTGTGGGCACACATGAACTTGTCTGTCTCCATTTTTTTTCTTCCCCCAGCCCTAGTCCAACACCCAAAACAGAATCTGCATATGATAAATACTCAAATTCATTTGTAAAGTTGGTAAATGGGCTGGACTCTCTCTTCCTTCTACTTGAAATGTCCCTCTTCCCTTCCCTAGCAGGTCCCTTGAAACTCTTTAGGCCCCTCTTATTCCAGGAAGACACATCTGCTTCTATCCTCTTGTTTCCATGTGGCAGACAGGGCTCCATGGACCCTTCTCGGTTGATGCGCACCCTTTGCCACCCAAGCCCCCACCTTGAGGTCCTGTCAGAATTTGGATCCAGTAGAAATGACAGTAGAGGGCTTTTAGCTCACACCCTAGAAGAAAGAGTACAGACAGCGAAGAGCGAAACTTTAGCCTGCACAGGTGCCTAAAAACATCAGTACAACAGGTGAATCACTAAGGTAGAAATTGAACACAGGACTTGGAGATCAGAACTGGTTGTGTGAACAGAGAAACCCCCTAAGTGTAAAATTAGTCGGAAGATAAATTGCCTTTCAGACTGAAAAATTAAAGGCTAGAGCAGAGAGGCAAGGTATGGAGGTCTAGCCTTATATAAGATGGACCTTTGTCCCGACAGATCTGTCATTGGATTGTATACAGAATCAGAAATAGGCTGGTAATTCTTTAGGCTCCCATTTTTATATTTGTAATCATTCTACAGGTTCTGGAAGCTCATGGATTGAAACCAGTTGTTCTGCAACCTAAAGAGGTAGGAGAGAAAAGGAAAATTGGTATTAATAAGTCTTCAAGCAATAGTTTTGGTTTTAAAGGAACAGTGTTAATGGTTCCTTAAAATAAATGTTGGGTACATGTTTGTTGAAAGTTGTTCATTAAAAAAGCACATTCAAAATATTTTTTGTGTCAAAAATGCTTCAGGATTCTTCTCTCAGATCCCTAACAAATATTCCAAGATCCCTTAGGATGTGCTTAGCCAAAAGCGTTGGGCCAGAATTGTTCCTTGTGATCTTCCCTACCATGAAGGGATGTTTTAAAAAATGTAGTGTAATAAAGAGCTAAGAACTGTATGAAAATCCTTCCAAAGGTTCACACACACACACACACACACACACACAAACACACACACACACGGCATCAAAGGCTAAGTTTGTTTTGGTGGGAAAATTTTTGAAACCCTTGCGCAATGTGGGGTCTTCAAAAAATTTAGGAGAAAAAGTCAACTGTAAATTTCAAAATTGCTTTGCACCAAAATAAGCATCTCTTAATGCCATTTTTCATGACCTGTTCAAAATTCCCGGTTATGTGCAATCTGCATTCCAGAGCTGTGTGGCTGCCTGGGGGATGGACTTCCCCCACAGGCATCTGTTGGCTGTAAGTGTATCAGCAGATTCACATGTGGAAGCATTTATTACTGAAGTACTTAAATCAACGTCCATGCCCTGCACTTTAAGAAACACGGATCAGCTGATTGGCTCAATTCTCTCTTACAAAAGCAGAAGATGCAGACTCCACTTACATGTAGCCTCGTTGCAATGCATTCAGCAGAAAACTTTCCCTTCCCTCCCCAAAGGGCCTGGCGCTCATCAATGGGACACAGATGATCACCTCCCTGGGTTGTGAAGCTGTGGAGCGAGCCAGTGCCATTGCACGCCAGGCGGACATCGTCGCGGCCCTGACTCTGGAAGTGCTCAAGGGCACCACCAAGGCCTTCGATACTGGTCAGCATGGTGCCCTCATCTAAGTGTTACTTGTCCAGCTAAAGCTGGGGCAGGAGATGGGGTGGGGGTGGGGCATGGGTTGGAGTCTTCAGACGCAGTCCTGGTGGGAGTGGGTGGTGAGGAAGGAGGACAGGTGCACATCCAGGGAGACTACAGCTTCACCTGCATTGTGCTGTGCTTGGCCCTCGAGACCATACATGGCCGGAGAATCAAGTGAGTCAGGCTACGTCTGGGGCAGGCTCTGAGTTTTCTTGGGCATCTGTTCACAGATGGGTTTAAGATTGATCTCAATTAGGAAACTAAGCGAGGAAGACCTGGAGAAGCCATAGCTTATCCAGCAGGTAGTGAATTTCAGACTCTGTTGTAGGACAGAATATTGTTCCAAAATGACTTAGATGAAGACCCTTCTGTTATTAACTCTGTATTTAGTTACCTACGCCAAATCTTTTTTTCATTTGTCAAAAGACGTTTTTAAATCTTTCTTTGAGTCATTTTAAAAACTTTCATGGAGTCATAATAATTGTTTGTGTTTATAGGGTTCAGAAGCCTGGTTCCTTGAAAGATTGACCAAGTGTCTTGAGTAAGATTCCAGAGAAAACACACAATTTGCTCTCAGATATTTAAAGGAAAAGAATAGATAATATGGGGCCCAGCACAGTAGCCTAGTGGCTAAAGTCCTCACCTTGAACATGCTGGGATCCCATATGGGTGCCAGTTCTAATCCCGGCAGCTCTACTTCCTATCCAGCTCCCTGCTTGTGATCTGGGAAAAGCAGTTGAGGATGGCCCAAAGCCTTGGGACTCTGCACCTGAGCCATACCTGGTAGTTTGTTCTTTTACCAGAACTGCTCATACTTTGTTGTCTTTGTGAATTCTAGACATTCACGCTGTTCGCCCACATCGTGGACAAATTGAAGTTGCTTTTCGGTTTCGGTCACTGTTGGACTCAGACCATCACCCATCGGAAATAGCAGGTCTGGGCATGGTTATCTAAGTGGGCTTGTTTGGTTGTATGTTTGAGCAAGAACTGATCATGTATTTCTTCCCTCTTCCCCTGCACCACTTCCTCAGAGAGTCACAGGTTTTGTGACCGGGTCCAGGATGCATACACCTTGCGCTGCTGTCCACAGGTAAAAGCAAAAACGCCAACAAAATGTTTTTCCCCAAAATTCAGAGGGAAAATGGGAAAACAGCACAGTGTTAGCCAACCATGAAGTGGTCAATTGTAGTCCAAAATTTTTTTTATTGCCTCTATTGAAAATTTTGTTCATGGTATGTCCATTGACCCAGACATTATGAAGTTGCTATTCTTTCTTTGGTAAGCAATCTTGGAATTGCTTGGTTTTGTTGCTCCTTTCAGAACTACTCCACAGACACCTTGCTTGGTTTATCTATTGTCATAACATTTTTCAGTAAGATTTATTTATGTATGTATTTGAAGGAAAAAAAGAGAAGCAGGAGAGGAAGAACTCAAGTTTTCATCTACTGGATTGCTCCCCATATGGTGGCATCAGAGTGCCCTAATTTATACAAATTTTTGTTACTAACATCACCATAACCAGTTAATAGAGTTTTACTGGTTTTCCCTGTTAGATACAAGTTGAGCCAACCAATTAGCCATATTCATAGAAAAGTCTAATCATGTTCATAATTACAACTTATCTGCCTCAGCAGTCAGGTATAAATCATTACGGCTGAATATATGAGATGTAGCAAATTAAAAAAAACAACAGATAACCTCAAGTGGCATCACAAATCCCATGTTGCACATGCTCATTTACATGTGGCAGCAGCAACCAAGAGATTAACGAGCATGTCAAGAAACAATATGCCAGCCTGTGCCATGGCCCAGTTCTTACTGTACCACTGAGTCCCCAGGGCAAACACTCTCATTTCCTCTGACTCAGCAGGCTCTGCTCTGGCTGGCTTCTTAGATGGCAGATTAAAAACATGTATGGGAAAGGATTGCCAGATGAGTTCAGCAGGAAGGAGAAATCCTGTTTGGCACTTCCCTGTACATCAATAATGAAAGCAGACCATGTGGCAGGTCCTATTCCAGGGTCTTCCATGTACATTATTTAATGTTCCCGATAATGAGATAAGTACTCTTCCTCTCATTTTGCAACTAGGAATGAGACCCAGACTTAAGTACTTTGCATAGAGTCTGTTTGCTCACTGCCGCTTTCCTTCCTTGATTTCCTTGATTTGAAAGAAGCCAGGGGCAGGTGCTGCCTTGGCACGTGGTGCCTGCCCTTGGCTTGCTCCACAGAACTGCTCGTTTTTGAGCTTCTTCCAACGTGATACCTTTGTGCTTCATGCATGTAATCTCCTTGGATAACAGCTACCATCTGAATGGTCTCTATAGGTCATGTTCAGGGGTTTGTGTGCACCATGTTAAGTAGTTTAAGGGTAAGTTCTGGTGTCTGTTTTCTGAGTCTGTGTCTCAACTGTTACTTCTGTCACCCAGCTTTCACACTAACTGGCTTGTGAATGTGCCTGTGTCTAGAATTAGCATTCACTCTCCTCCACGGAGCTGATTCTGGATGAATAGAGTGTGATGGGACTTCAAAAAGTTCATGGAAAATGAAGTTAAGGCTAAGTTTATTTGGCTGCAAAAAATTTAAAATCCCTGCATACTAGAGGTGTTCAAAAACTGAGTGGGCAATGCTTATTATGAGGCATTTCAAATTTTTTACACCAAAATAAATGTATTTTCATTCAATTTTCCACTGACTTTTTAGAACCTCCCTATTTATTTATTTTTTTAAAAGATTTATTTATTGGAAAGTCAGATATACAGAGAGGAGGAGAGACAGAGAGGAAGATCTTCCGTCTGATGCTTCACTGCCCAAGTGAGCGCAACGGTCGATGCTATGCTGATCCAAAGCCAGGAGCCAGGAACTTCTTCCGGGTCTCCCATACAGGTTGCAGGGTCCCAAGGCTTTGTGCCGTCCTCAACGGCTTTCCCAGGCCACAAGCAGGGAGCTGGATGGGAAGTGGAGCTGCCAGGATTAGAACTGATGCCCATATGGGATCCTGGCACGTTCAAGGTGAAAACTTTAGCCGCTAGGCCACACCGCCAGGCCCAGCACCTCCCTATTTATTGCCAAGGTTATAACTGTAAAGCATTTTCTGTGGGAAAGACAAATTATTTGGTTATTTATTTTTTTCTTATTTTGATTGTATTTTAGATCCATGGTGTGGCAAATGATACAATAGCGTTTGTGAAGGACATCATTACCACAGAACTGAACAGCGCAACAGATAATCCTGTATCTTTTGAATGTCTACCAAATCTCCAGGATAGCATTTCCCCCTGGTAACTTGAAGATCTGCTGAAACAGTAATTTATGCATACCCTCTCAGTTTTGCTTCCTTCCATGGCATAAATGAACAGGTAGCTGAGGGCTCATAGATCTTGGAGGTGGGCCAATCTGTGGATGCAAAGCCCATGGGTACAGAAGGCCAGGAGTAGCATTCTGTCACCCTGTAAGCAAAAGTCAGCTCTTCGGAAGCAGGAGGGAGGATCTGTTACTGCCTTGGCCTGGTTGGGGGCCTGCTTAAGTGCATGGGAAAATGGAATTGTTGCTGACAGTAATATTCAGTGGGTCTGAAGTTGCCTTCTGCTAAAGCAGATTGGTGAGGACTTCTCAGTAGCCATCTGCTGTTGAAGCCCAGGACCACTGACTGTGGAGATCTAAAGTTTGCCCAGGAGTAAATGTTCCAGACTTTGTGGGAGTTGCTCATCAATGTCTTCCATTCTGCAGATTCTTTTTGGAAAAGCCCACAGTGCCCACCATGCCCATTTTAAGGGATGCTCTGGTCTTCATTCTTAGTCTCAGGCTACGAATCTTTTGAGAGTAGATGCTGATCACTGCGGTAGTGCAGGTACAGAGCTTGAATATTGCTAATTTCAGGAGAAAGCATCATTTCATGTTCACCGTTTCATTGGTCCCCAGTTGAGTGGCATGATTCATCTTTGAGGTTGGTGCCAGTTTATGCTGAAACTGACTCAGGGAAGATGGTCTCTTCTTTCTACTACCCTTCTTTTTACAAGGACTGTCACCTAGAAGTTAGACATAGATTGGGGCTAAGAATTGTACTTGAAGTGATCAACCAACACTGTGTTCTAGCCTTAACCTGTTTTGAAAGATGGTCTTTGCCAGTAGGGGTGAGACAATCTCTGGAGGAAACTTCCATGGTGAATACCCAGCCAAAGTAAGCTTTTTAAACTTGCCTCTCACTCAGAGTGCATATTCTGGCAGAGGCTGACTGAATGGAGATTCTTTTGCAGGCCCTGGACTATTTGGCCATTGGTGTCCATGAACTTGCTGCCATTAGTGAAAGAAGAATTGAAAGGCTGTGTAATCCCTCGCTCAGTGAGCTACCTGCCTTTCTGGTGTCTGAAGGGGGTCTGAACTCGGGATTCATGATAGCACACTGCACAGCTGCAGCCCTCGGTAAGGATTCTGCTCTTTGCCCCAGATACAAGTCTGGTCAGCTTAGGGTGTTTCCATTTTATCTAGATATCAAATTTTGTCTTTGAATAAAATCTACTTTTTCAGCACTTTTTCTACCCCTCTCAATAAAAATGTAGCAGGTTGACTTCTTCTTAATTATCTCTTAAAGTTTTCAAAATTAATTGGTGATTTTGTTTTTATTTGTTTGAAAGTTAGAGCTAAAAAGACGGAGACACAGACAGGGATCTTCCATCTGCTGGCTCACTTCCCAGATCGCTGCAAAGACTGAAGTGAGGCTAAATCAAAACCCAGGAGCCAGGAGCCTCCTCTAGGTATTCCATGTGGGTGCAGAGCCCCAAGCACATGGGCTGTCCTCTGCTGCTTTCCCAGTTACATCAGAGAGAGCTGAATGAGAAGTAGAGTAGCTAGGACTTGAAAAGGGACTCAAATGGGATGTTGGCACTGCAGGCAGTGGCTTAACCCATTATGCCACAGCAACAGCCCCAGCAGGTTGACTCTTTTAACACTTTTTAGAAAAAGAAAGTAAATCCCAAGCAATGTTATAATGAAACATGACAGTACAATATTTAGTTGTAAGTACAAGGGTAATTCAAAAACTTCATGGAAAATGGAGTTAAAAGATATGTTTGCTTTGATACAAAAAATTTTGAATCCATGCATAAAACATACTTTCCATTAACTTCTTGGAAGCTTTCAAGAAATTTCTCTAGAGAAAGAATTTTTTGAAAATTTTTTTCTTTATTTCAAAGGCAGAGAGAGATATACAGAGAATGTCCATGTGCTGGTTTATTCTCCAAACACCTGCAATGGGCTGGGGCTAGGCTGGGCCTCAGGCTGGGATATAGGAAAACAACCCAGGTCTCCAACATGGGTGCAGCAGCCTCATTCCTTGAGCCATCATCACTCTTTCTAGGATCTGTGTTAGCAAGAAACTAGAATCAAGTGCTGGAAGTGGGAGCTTGTCCCAATTCCTCCACGGTGACTCTAGTGTTTTCGTCACTAGGACAAATGCCTGCCCCCCTGGAAAGCAATTAGATGCTACATGGTAGCTTCATCTTGATAGCTTTTCCCAGTTCTCACCATGAAGACTCTCAGAAGGAAAGAAATAGACCAAGATGGTGATTTATAATTTGAATCAACCTGAATAAACTTGGAATATATTTCATTAGTTATACCAACCACTGAAAACAAAGATATGTTTACAATATTTAAGATTACCTGTAAGTAGCAGGGTCTCCTCTATAAAGGTTGAATACCAAGATAGCTGGTTTCTGACTTGAGATTGCAAGTAATTCATCATAGCCATGCCTGGCATGGGGTGTCCGAGGTCCCACAGTATTCGCTCAATAATCCTATTGGTACCACGAGGCAGCTACTATTGTCTTCGTTGCACAAATGAATAGCTGCAGGTCCAAGAAGTGAAGTGACTTGTCCAATACTTCACAGCTAGTAAGATGTTGAACAGAAGACAAACCCAGGCATTTGGCCTCCCACTTCAGTTAAAACGAAGACCTCATTTTAGTAGATACATAAGCCTTAAGATAGGGCTGCAAGTTTAACAATAACACAGTCTGTCTAGTAAAATTTGAATTGTTCTGTACAGACCTATCCTGGAAAAATCTGAAATCCTGATGGCCTGGGAGGTCCTTTATTTTATCAACACTACTGCCCCAAAAGGTAGAACAACGTGGTCGTCAGCTAAGAGGCTAGACCCTGAACCTGACTCCCAACTTTACGATTTCCTTACCAGCGGTATCTCACTGAGTCGGATAACCCTGTTAATCACAGTTTTCTCCTGCCTAAAACAAAGATGACAGATGTACTCCATGGACCCACTTTGAGAATAAAATTAATAGAAAGCCTTAGAACTCTGCCCAGCACATAAGAAGCACTAAGGAGGTATTAGCTGCTATGAAAAATTACTCCTAATTCCGTCCCCACCTAAACCTCTGATTAAAACCTAGCACAAACAACCGACCACGAGCCCCTGGATTTACCTTCTCCTCTGAGCCTGGATCTTCTATCTGTTCTGTTGCTTGCTGATTACAATACCCTGTAAAGGAATATATTTCTCATGATGGCAAGCTGGCAGTCGGGGGAATGGTAATCCGTTTCCAGAAGCCTTTTGACCTGGGAAGCTTGGTTTCATTGTCTTGTGCTTCCCAAGCCCCCTTTGCAGTTTTAGCCTGTTTTTGTGAAGTGAAATGTTTCCCCTTGTTTGGCCACTTGCAAATCATCTTTCTGAACAAGCCTCACTACATATGCTAGTTTAAAGGCTCAGGACTTGGGACTTCAGGACCCAAAAGGTGCCAAGAGTTGCTGATCACCTTCGCTGGAAACTACAGGACAGGAAACAACTGAAGATTCTCTGAGTGACTTTCTTTCTTGTTTTTATTATTACATTATTATTATTATTAGAAAGGCAGATTTATAGACATTAGAGGCAGAAAGAAAGCTCTCTTATCTACTGGTTAATTCTCCAAGAGGTCACAACAGCCAACTGAGCTGATCTGGAGTTAGAGACATCTGGGTCTCCCACATGGATGCAGGGTCCCAAGGCTTTGGGCCATCCTGGACTGCTTTCCCAGGCCACAAGCAGGGAGCTGGATGGGAAGAGGAGTTGCCAGAACATAAACCAGCACCCATATAGGATCCTGGCACTTGAGGTAGAGGATTAGCATGTTGAGCCACCACACTAGTCCCTCTCATGACCACTTTTATTATTTTTTATAGGTTTATTTTTATTGGAAATGTAGATTTACAGATAGAAGAAGAGACAGAAAGATCTTCCATCTGCTAGTTCACTCCCCAAATGGCCACAATGGCTGGAGCTGAGCTGATGCAAAGCCAGGAGCCAGGAGCTTCTTCTGGTTCTCCCATGGGGGTATAGGATCCCAAGACTTTGGGCTGTTCTTGACTGCTTTCCCAGGCTCCAAGCAGGAAGCTGAATAGGAAGTGGAGCAATCAGGACATGAACAGGCACCCATATGGGGTCTTGGCACATGCAAGGTGAGGATTTTAGGCACTGAGCCATTGCACCAGACCCAGAACCACTTTCAAGTTCAATAAAACAAAGAGGAAAAAAGAATTTGGGGGTTGGGCCTTGATTAAATTCTGGAACTGGGTAGGAGGATTTCCTGAATTTCGATGCTTGCTGTGTAACTTGCTGTCTTTGACTTACAGTATGGACATCACCTGGAGTTATTAGGCCAGTAGAGGTGCAGGTCCCACTCCAAACTCAGCGGGCATGATCCAGTTTGAAAAGCCCCAATGTGAACCATCTGGGAGTTCTGCCCATTCCTAGTTCCCCATCTCTTTCTTAGAATTCAGGATACTTCTAAAGTCTCTCTCACTTTGAGGGACAGGGTTAAGCCTGCTTCCTTAGAGTAATTCTTCCCAGTCTGGAGCTTCAGTCATGGTGCCCCCAGAGAGGTGCACCCCTTGTCGTGGGTCCTCTCAGGGGACCCACGTGTCATTTGGTGCTTTAGCCTCCTGAGGACACTGGCTAATGTGCATTGGTCTCTTGCAGTTTCTGAAAACAAGGCTCTGTGCCACCCTTCATCCGTGGACTCTCTCTCTACCAGTGCTGCCACAGAGGACCATGTCTCCATGGGAGGGTGGGCAGCGAGGAAGGCCCTCAGGGTCGTGGAGCATGTGGAGCAAGGTAATGGCGTGAGCGAGGGTGGGGTGGGGGGCGCATGGATGATCTGCTACATTGGTGGTCCTCAAACTGGGATCCCCATTGGCTGCCTTGGCATCACCTGGGAGGTGGCTAAGGATGGGAATTCTCAGATAGAAGGCAGGGATAGGCTCAACCTGTGTTTAACGAGCTTCCCACAATCAACTTTCACATGTTTTTATCAGCCTGAAAAGAAATTCTGAGGCTGTTCTATTCCCACAATTCCCATTCTCCTGCCTCCCAGTCCTAGGCAATCACTACTTTAATTTCTGTCTCCACAGATTTACCTATTTTTACATTGATGAGATCATATGCTAGTGCTTATTTGTGGCTGACTTCTTATACTTGGCTTGATATTTACAAGGTTCATCATATCATAGCACATGTCAGCATTTGTTGCCTCTTTCGAGCTGAATAATGATCTATTAATAGGCCACATTTTGTTTGTCCTTTTGCTAAAAGATTCTTGATTTTTCTCCACCCTTTGGCTAATATAAATGATGCTTCTATGAACATATGTTCTCATATCTACAGAATTGGTAGGCCACACAGTCACCAAATGTGTGGAGCGCTTGGTGTATGAACCTTAAGATGACTTCTTAAGGATCTTCCCAGCTGGTTTCCTAAGTGGTTGCGCCACACTATGCTCCACCTGCAGTGCTGGAAGGGACCAGTTTCTCTGCATTATCACCAGTGCATGTTGTTATCTGTGCATCTCGGTGTGCTGTGAGCATTCACTGCTCAGATGGTTTCTCCATTGGGCATGTTGCTCTGACCAAAAGCTCTGAGTTACCCTTCTCAGTCCTCTTCTCAGAAAAACCAAGCTTCCATCATCTGATAATCTTGTTCGCACTTTCTCTGCTGTTGCTGCACACCATAAACTAGGGTGAATGATTGAAAATGTTGTTGAGACCACACCATACGCCTGCTGTAAATTTCCCCAGTGACTTCCTAGTGCTCAACACAAATCCAACCCCCTTCCTGTAGTCCACGAAGCTCCCCCTGATCTGACTTCTGCCCCTACTGCCACCTCTCTCTGTCCCATTCTCTGCTCTGGGTCACAGTGCTGTGCTTGCACCTTTCTCTTTTTCCCCTATCTTTTTAGATTTGTATTGAAAAGACAGATGTACAGAGAGGAAGAGAGACAGAAAGATCTTCCATGAACTGGTTCAACCCCCAAGTGGCCTCAATAGCTAGAGCTGAGCCGATCTAAACCCAGGAGCTAAGCGCTTCTTCTGGGTCTCCCATGTGGATTCAGGGCCCCAAGGCTTTGGGCCATCCTTTACTGCTTTCCCAGGCCACAGGCAGGGAGTTGGATGGGAGGTGAAGCAGCCTGGACAGGATTCAGTGCCCATACGGGATCTTGGCCCAGGTAAGGTGGGGATTTAGCCACTAGGCCATTGATCTAGGCCGTGTGCTTGCACTATTCAACAAATGCATGTCTTCCTCAGCAACTTTCTGGCTGTTGGCTTGCAGCTCTGGGTTCCTTGTGGTCTCCTTTCTACATACATCTGCATACATCCCAGATTTCATCTCTGAAACCTTCCCTTCTCACACCAACTGAAGCACCCATTATTGCTCTTTCTCCTTTTTTCCCTCTGTAATATCACTTAGTATCATTGATTTCTAAGGTTTATTTGCCTTTCCCAGAAAAATGTAATATCCATGAGGTCTTGTCTGATCCATCACATACCCAGTTGGACCTGCAATATATAGATCAGATGTTCAAATGTTTGCTTGACAATGAAGTGGGTGTTCTGTGTCACAAGCAGCAATCTTTTTAAAATAATTCTTTTATTTTAACAATCCTTACATAGTTGATTAGGTCACACAAGGTCAAGGGCTACAGGAAAGTGGCTAAGATCATTGTTTCCACATTAATATTATTTCTTTTTCTGTATCTGGGGTAAGGGTAGAGATAAAAGGAAAAGCCCCACTCAACCTTCCATCCATTCCAGGTCCCTGACATGGGGCATGCTCCGAGGGTCTTGCTCATGCAGTTTTGATAGTTCCACAGTTCTGAACTGCACAAACAACAATCTTAATAAAGGAATGCAGGCATATACTAGCTTAGAGGTTGGTGAAATGAATATTGTTAAAGTTTTAAAGCTTTATGGATATACATTTGCAATGCATTTTAGTAGGACTGATATTATTTGACTAGGATAACCTTATTTATGTGTTTTCTACTGTTAAGGTCAGCAAAATAATCATATAAAACTAAATATATTTCCAGAATTCTTCCAATCATTTTCAATGTGTTTTAACATTTTTTTGCAGATGATTATTAAATCATAAACTATCAGCTTATTTCAAAATAAAGGAGATCATGTTAAAAATTAAATTAAGACACATTAGGTCTCTCCCATGAGTGCAGGGTCCCAAGGCTTTGGGCCATCCTCTACTGTTTTCCCAGGTCACAAGCAGGGAGTTGGATGAGAAGTGCAGCAGCCAGGACATGAACAGTGTTGATATAGGATACTAGCATTTGCAAGGGGAAGATTAGCCAATTGAGCCATTGTGTCAGGCCCCTAGCAGGTCTATTTTCAAGGTCAGAAAGACAAATCAGAGATGTTAATTAATGTGCCAAAGGCTATACAGCTAATGACAATGCTAGTATGGCTGATTCAATTTCACTTTCTTATTCATTCCCTATGCCTCCTGATTAGAAAAAATAAGCCCCCGTCCTCATAGATTCTCAGGCTGACTTTGGCAAGATTGTCCTAGATCTACTCCTGTGGACATATCTCAAAGTAGGACTCCTGGGAGTGGAGAGTATATTCTTTTAGTCAGATGCCTGTAGCACCTGTGAAAATGAGGATTAGTCAATGATATAGCTGACTTAACAATATACTAACTTTCTTCTAGTCATAGAAGTGTCTATAGATGACAAGGGTCTCTTCTCGCACACCAGCTCCCCACTCAACTTCTTTGATCAAGATGGATGACCACAGTTTCCCATCTCTATCTTTATGTAAATTTCAAGTTGTTTTTAGTCTTGTAATTTCTTAGGCTTGAAACACCCAGTACATAGTCCTTCATCAAAGTCCTGAAGGATCCAGTTAACCAGGAAGTAGGTATGACTGTTCTAGAACTAACTCTATAGTGCCCATTCCAACACTCTCAAGACCACCAAAATAGAAATTGTAGAAATTAATATCCTACCAATCTTAATTATTCAGAAAAACAATTTTTCTACAGTCTTCCTTAGCTAAGAACTTTTACAATTGTATCATACATGATAATAGTGCAATCTGTGTTTTCCTATATTAGAGTCTAAATGATGGAGAATTTTAATAGAAATGTAATTTTAGATTAAACCATTTTGTATTCTGTTATTTACAAAGGAAATAGTTTAAGAGCTTAAGGTTGATTATGTTCCTTATCAATTATTCCAAATAGAGTTCTAAAAACATTTGACTTATTTTCTTTAAAAGATTTATGTGGTTTACCTGAAAGTCACAGTTACAGAGTTATAGGGAGAGATAGTGGATTAAGCTGCCACTTCCGGTGCCAGCACCACATGTGGGTGTCAGTTTGAGTTCCGACTACTCCACTTCCCATCCTGCTCCCTGATAATGCACCTGGGAAAGCAGTGGAGGATGGCCTGTTGCACCCAGATTTTGAGATCCCCAGAAATCATCAGGAGTCTGAAGTCGATTCCAACGCATAAGGGCAATTTATTCAGACTAGTCTGGGCTCCCATCGGCCTCCAGCCTGACGGAACTGGGGGATGGCAGCATCAGCAGAAGCACCGAGGTTGGAAGGCACAGGGTTTTATATGCTTCGGGCCAATTCTGCATAATTCTATGATTGGTCAGTTTAACTGTTAACTTTAAAAAGAGCAAGTTGGCAGGCTTCTATTGGTGGGTTTGAAGCAAGCAACATTCTTTTAAAAATTTATTTATTTTTATTGGAAAGTCAGATATATGTAGAGAGGAGGAGAGATAGAGGAAGATCTTCCATTCAATAACTCACTCCCCAAATGACAACAAAGGCCAGTGCTGTGCTGATCCGAAGCCAGGAGCCAGGAACTTCTTCCAGGTCTCACACACTGGTGCAGGGTCTCAAGGCTTTGGGCCATCCTTGACTGCTTTCCCAGGCCACAAGCAGGGAGCTGGATGGGAAGCAAGGTTGCCAGGATTAGAACTGGCACCCATATGGAATCCCGGCAGGTCAAGGCGAGGACCTTAGCTGCTAGGCCACCGTGCCAGACTCCGCAACTTTCAAATTGTACAAACTAGTGGGCTATGGGGTAGCGAGCAACTCTCATCTAAAAAGCACACCAGGTGCCTCCTTCCTGAGGAGTGTTCTGCCTACATGACCTGTTCAGTGTCATGATGTAGGCTGTCAGTCCTGGACTTCACAGAGCTCCCCAGTCAAGCAAGCAAGGCAGAAACCACAAAAACATAAAACACTGAGGTTCCTCAGGCCCAAGTGCTTGGGCCCCTGCACTCACATGGGATCTCCTAGCTCCTGTCTTCAGCCTGGCTCAGCCCTGGCTGTTGTGATTTGTATTTCTCAAGCATGAATTCACACCTTAACCACCCATTGCTCTTGCATTTCTTGTTTCAGTGCTGGCCATCGAGCTTCTGGCAGCCTGCCAGGGCATAGAGTTTCTACGTCCCCTGAGAACAACCACTCCACTGGAGAAGGTCTATGACCTAGTGCGCTCTGTTGTAAGGTAAGGCCAACAGGTCCCTGGAGATGACAGTGTTTCAGACCCGTGAGCCTTGCCGCATTTACTGTTTGGCTGATGGGTTGCTGTGCTTCCTCCGTAGGCCCTGGATGAAAGATCGCTTCATGGCCCCAGACATTGAAGCAGCTCACCGGCTGCTCCTTGAGCAGAAGGTAAGCTGACTTCCTGCCTTTTTGATCATTATGAAAAGTCAAAAAGAGAAAAGGAGTGGGAAGCAGGAGTGGAAACACATTGTCTTCCATTGTCTCCTTACTATTCCATGGAAGTAGAAACACAGGCTGCTACAAAGCCTGTGATAAACCCTCAGATGCCTGGTCACCTAAACACCATCAGATTGTATGACGACAATGATGATGATTTGAGCAGAGGAAAGAGAAAGATCAGGAGAGCTACTATCCACTGGCTGATGTCTCAGATTCCTGCTGGAAAACAGCCGTCCCCAGCTGGAGCTGAAACAGAGCCAGAAACGTATTCCAGGACTCCTCACAGGTGGCAGGTCCTCAGAGACTAGCGCCTTGAACAGGGTCTGCACTAACAGAGAGCTGGGACTTGAAGCCACGCCCTCTAATATGACTAAATGGCCCTGTGAAAGGGATTTTAAATGGAATTTTAAGAAAAGTATTTGCAGGAAGGAAACAAAGAGTAATTATTCATCCCCTCCCTTAAAATAATCTTTTTTTCAGAAGCATGAGAATCTTTCAAAATATATATAGAAAATGGAATTAAACGCTAAGTTTATTTTGAATTTTTAAAAATCCATGCACAGAGGAATCACTAAAACATGTTTATAGAAAGTATATAATATGGGAGGTAGGGAGGGAGGCAGGGAAGCTATATAGTGGCTGCTTTCCCAGGCATACTAGCAGGGAGCCAGATCAGAAATGTGGTAGCTGGAACTTCAGTGTCTATGTGGGATGCCGCACTGTAGGTTGAGATGGCTTAACTGGCCTCACCACATCACCACCAGCCCTCCTTTGATCTTCATGCTTATCATTTCTAAGTGTTCTCCCCCCCCCCACCTCTACTAGGGAAGCTGTTTGCCAGCTACTAAGGAAAAGGTGTGAGAGGCTGGCTTTCACGAGAATGCATTTTGGGAGGCCTTGAGCAAGAAAAGCTTTCTTGCTGGCCACGGTAATCAGTAGTGTGAACAAGCACCTGGGTTTCCATCTGAGATGATAATATGTTTCAAAGATGAGGTTGGTGGGTGGATGAAAATCTGAAGAAGGGCCTGAGGCAGGCTTCCCAAACTGTACTGCGGGGGGCGGGGGGGGGGGGCAGGCGGGTGCCAAATGCAGATTTGGTCTCAGCAGGTTTGCTGATGTTGCTAGGGAACAGGTCACACGCTGGGGTGAGGTCAAGGTCATAGGGTACCTGTGACCTGAAGATAGAACAAAGGGCAAATCCAATAAACAAACTGCCTTTTATCAATGCTCGTTTTAGGAAACACACCATGTCCACTTTTGTGGACATCAACTCTTTCCACAGAAGTCTCTAGATGTTATCTGCTATTTGTTGCTTTTATTTTGGAACAGAAAGCAATGCAAGCTTTTGTGGGAGAGTGGGATTAGCATAGCAGTTAAAGTGCCCATGTCCCACGGTGGGGTATCTGGATTCAGTTCCTAGCTCTGGCTCCAGATTCCAGCTTCTTGCTAATGAGGCCCTTTGAAGGTGGCAGTTGGGTCCCTGCCACCTATGTGAGAGACCTGGAATGTGTTCTTGGCTCCTGACTTCAACCCAGCCCAGTCCAGTCCAGCCCTGGCTCTTGTGGCCTTTTGGGAAGTGAATCAATGGGTGAAAAAATTCTCTCTCTCAAATTAAATTAAAGAACTTCATGGTAACTTTGGGAAAGTTTTGATGTTTTTAAATACGAGCAGCCATTGTGTATCCAAGTCAGGAATAGGGGATGTCTGACTTGAGATGAAGTTGATGTTTAATGACATCTGGAAACAAGGTCGTCAGTATTTCGTCTTTGTTTGCTTGTTTCTCAGGTTTGGGATGTAGCTGCGCCCTACATTGAAAAGTACAGAATGGAGCATATTCCAGAATCACGCCCTGTTTCTCCAACAGCCTTTTCCCTGGAATCGCTCCATAAGAAAGCCAACAAAGTCCCAGAGTCTGAGGATCTTTAGTGGGCTCTGTTTTGGATTATCAGGTCAGATAGCTTGGTTGAACATAAAGCAGTACTGTAATGAAAAAGAACTAGGAACTTTCTTGGTAAATTCACCCATTTTATAAGCAAAGCTTATTTCCACTAACGCTTATTTGTGATCCAACTGGTGGCAGAATTGCAGGTGCTAAATTCGCATTGTGTCCTTGTGTTTCTTGCATCCTTTATTTTCTCTTTGCTTTAGCAAACTCCCCACTAGCTGACTTTTAAAAATTGATCATACTATGCCATGTTATGACAGATGTCCTCTAATATGCCTTCATAACCATTTGAAGTGATCATTTGTCCCAAAACTGCTTGCTTCCGTTAATTGAATCATAATAAAGAATGGCCGGTAGGTCTTCAGCAATTAATACAGAAGTCATAAAATGAATTACAGAAAGGCATTAAAGAATGGTGATTAAGATTGCTATTTGGATGGTCTTTATTCAACTGTATATTTCAGGTTTATCATGTATCACTTGCTACACATATCCACTCAAATGATGAACTAAATCATGTGCTCAGTTTGTGTTGGAGATAAGTAGCATCCCCTCCCACGTGTTAGCACTCAAGTCAAACGTTTACAGTAACCCTGTCTGAAAAGACTAACTTCCTAGGTAAGGGATCTCTGGGATTGACTAACCCCATCTCTACAGTGGTGATCATTACGATGAACCCTGTTGACAAAGGTCAGATGGGACCCTTGGATGTCTTACCCAATCTGTTTTCCTCCCAAGAAAATGATAAAGGACTTGGAAAGACTTCCATGAAATTTTTCCAGTGAAAAGTCAGGTGACCCCTGGGCTTCCCAAGGTGAAGTCCATGACTTTGTACGCATCTGTACAGGAGTTTGACACCATGGCTTTGAAAAGGGAAGCTGGTCAAGGAAAGGGTAGATATACTTGTTCTCCGGCCCTCCCGATGGCAGACTACAATGTGCAATGTAACAAGATTTTTGAGTGTTCAGATGCAAACTTTTCACTGCAGAGACCCAAGTGAAAACTGTTGCCTCCAGTAATGAACAGAGCTAAACTGTGCTGAGAATGCTGTTTAGACAATGGTTGATCTTGGTGGCGATCTCTACCAAAATGAAAACACACCAATCAAGTCTGTCATTCTTGTCCATGAAAAGCATTGAGCCCGTAAAGCCCAGCAGTCTAATGGCTTTTCTCCACTTCTGAATTCCTGTCCACTTCTGCAGTCCTTGGGAACATACTGACAACTTGACTTAGGAACTGACTCCCGTGTCTTCAAGGGCACTTCAAGGTCAATAAGGAATAAAGTCTCAAAATGGCCTTATGTTGCTCTCCTGTATTTTTTTCCCTTGGAATTTTGCAGCAGTTTAATACTTCTTTAGGAAATCACTATTTAAAACTCAGTTACACCAACCCTGTGATCAGTTAGAAATAGCTTTAAAATGTGATCAGCTCAGTAAACATTTTCTTTTTCTATTTCCCACTGAGTAGCAGCAGGAGAAATGGAGGGATCAGATGCCCTCACCCAGTAGGCTCACCTGGGCTCCGTCTCATAATGTTGCATGCCACGCAGGGAGGGTGAACCCCACGGCCTTAGGGCTTCCCAACCTTTACCATATCATCTGCTTATGTCCTGTTGGCCAATGCAAGTCACACTCCAAGCCCATAGTCACTTGGGCAGAGGATACTCAAGGGCATGGACGTGTGACTTGGTGTGATTCATGGACCATTGTCTAACCATCTACCACATATATAAAATCCCAGAGAATCTGAAAAAAAATTTAAGGATATTTTTCATACTACTTTCAGCATATATCCCATTTCCAGGTCTGGTCATTGGACTGATTATTTTACTATTGAACATCATCTAGCAGTTACTGTACGAGGCATATGTCCTAAAATAGGACAGCTGTTAGATCACCATGGAGGCCTCCAGAAAGCTGAACTCTGCATGATGGGTTTCAGAGAATGGAGAAAAAGGCCAACTGGACTCTAGATTTCAGGGTCAGAAACCATTCGTGTCAGAAAACCACTTGCATGTTTGCTCAGTTTGTCATTAAATAAATGATGACTAAGATGTGCTCAGTCCTTGCCCTTATCGTTGATAGTCTAAGCAATGGGCTGGAGGACTAAATGAGCAGCAGTGACATGTGGAACTACAATAGGAAGGCTGCAACAGAACCAGGAGCAAGATCACAGAGAACTCAACCCTAATACAAAGTAAAGGAAACACCACTCTAGCAGAACAGAAAACCTCTGAGATCTTGAGGGTGGGGGTCTGTTCAGGGCCTCATTCATTCAGGCTCTGGCAGGCTGAACTTCGTAATGATTTGACCAACTGATGGTTACTTGTGAAACCATTTCTTAACACAGAGGATGAAATTGGATAATGGACTTGTGATTTTAAAGGTGATTATAACACTTTAATAAAGAATTTATTAATAACACTTTAATAAACACTTTTAATAAAGAATTTCAAATAAGCTCACTTGGGTTTAGAAACATCTATTCATAAAAATAATCATCCATTCTTGAAATGACTTTGCAATCATTCACCTCTGTTCTGGAAACTTAATAGACAATACTGCTGGTCTACTCCCAAGGTCACAAGGCAACAACAAAAATTGTGACAGCAAATATTTATTGAGAACTATAAATTTCTTTATACACATTTAATGTTGAGAATCAAAAACTCGATAACAATTTTTTTAAATGATATCTTTTGTAATAGCCCCTTCTGTTAATTTTCAGACCGTCTATAACCAGTCTTGCTGGGTCCCTATAAATGCCTTGAGATTATCCTCACAGCAGATGTTATCTGTTCATAAGTCTTGGTGCACATGTTAATAAAATGAATGAACTCCGAATTTCTCAGGTAGATTAACAGAACATTGGAATATATTTAGGTTTAAGTAACACAGTTCTGGTAAACTACTGCTGTATTCTATTTATTAGCTTCTTTGATTCAGTGGAAAAAATCTTCTTTTCTTGCAAATCTAGCATTTTTTGTAGATGACTTTTCCTTTAATTATAACATATTCAATTAATTCATGGTGACCTCCAAACTGATAAATCAAATGCTCCCATCTAGAAAGAAATCAAACATCATTTCAATGTGTACCAACTCAAGTCATCACTAGGCATGTAAGAGAGGAACTGGCATTTGCACACAGGTAAGTAGGCTACCCCTGGGTAGTCTGAGTATCCATGTTAAGACAGATACTTAGTCTGTGGTTTGGACGGTGCATGATTTAAAAGCACATTCCCAAAAACTGATTTATAGCAGATCATTGGTATTTAAGCTTATATGTATATGTACATATATATGTATATATATATATATATAATTAGTCAATGATAAGTCAAATCTTGTGTAATAAGATTTTTAAGTGTTTGATCTTAAAATATTTGCCTCATTAAGGGACATATAAAAGATAATGTCAGTATTATTTTTCATAGAGGAGTTTGGTTTCTGAGCATTGGGGTAGAGTTAATAGCAGTACTATTGGCAAACATGATGTACAAAGCCACAATACTTCTGAAGATCAGGAAGTCATACAATTTATACTTAGAGATTTAGGATAATAAGACACATAGAGATCCAAGAGACCACAAAGTATGAATGACTCCAGACAATTGAGTTAGGCTTTTGGGATCTAGTTGGTATCAAAAGTCAGAAAACGAATGAATGAGCTCCAGGGAGACACTGTGGAGCTAGAACAAACAAAGTCAGAAGCCAAGGGCTCAAGTCCAAAGTCTAGGTAAACAGAGCAGGAAGCCAATAACACATTAGACCAATGAAGAGACCTAAAAACTTGTAGTTTGGGACCTGGATGTTGGAAGAGATAGATATATGAGACTGTGTAGTGTCTGAGTCTAGATGGAACCTTATCCTCATAACTAGTGGGAAACAGACTTCCACTGTGCCGACATGTGACATCACAAAACAGCTAAGCCTGGGGAATACTCACCTGGATGAATTGATGATGATGAGATCTCCTTGCTTGCCAACTTCCAAAGACCCATGTGTGTGAGATTTTCCCAGGGCAAAGGCTGCATTGATGGTGGCAGCTGCCAAGGCTTCAGGCATGGACATCCTCATGTTTACACAGGCCAGGTGCATAACTATTGGCTAACAGCAACAGAGTGGTATCTGTCACTCAAGATGTTTCTCAACACAGCACAGCAGATAAAGGTGATTAAGCACACACGTGGATTGGGTACAATACTAAGGGAAAAAAAATCTGTTTGAAGGCTCTTGCCTTTGGAAACAATTTATGCCGTGATTGCATATTTAATGCTGAGATGAAATTTTTCAAGACTCATGATGTAAGACAAAACCTTATTTCCACCCACCCATGCTTATTAAAATCTCTTTGTTTACATTATCCTCTGGAGAAGGATTATGGCTTATTGGAAAATCACATTGCTCAAGGTTGAACCTGAAAATAAGGCAAATAAAAGCTGTTCTCTTGTGTGCCTGGAGACATTCATGTGTTATGGGAAGAAAATCCAATACCTACAAGGTTTTTCTTGTTTTACACAAAAATAATTTTAGATCTTTTTCATTTTTAGATCCTTATATTTTTAATAGCTAGTGAAAAAGTTTTAAATGACCTATATGCTTGATAGGCAATGTGCTCAGAATTGCATGTGAAAAAGTCATTACCATTGATAAACAGTAGGCGTTTGGGTTGAAGTCACTCCCCAGAGCCACGATCACGCCTTCATCTAACATCTTCCTGGCTCGAGGCTGCTTCAGTCTAAGGGAAAGAAGAAGACATGGCCACCTCTGCAGGTGGGGCTTCTGCAGAATCCAAGCTGATAATGGAGGACAACTTGAAATGTCTAAACCCTTCACGTTCTAGAAGAAACAAACTCCGGCTTATGTGCTAGAGTGAGATAGAATACTAGAACTCTTGATCCAAACAAAAAATGGACTCCCAGTGAAAGTGTTGGACATATCTATACAATGGGATGATGGACTGTCTGACATTGTCTGTACCAGCAATGTCAGGGCACACTTAAATGGCAGACTGATGGAATTGTACTGTTGTGAAAATATGGGAAAAATCAGTCGGGGGTGGGAATTAGGGGGAGGGGAGTCCAAGACTATACAGAATTGTACAATAAAATTCAAAAGTTAGAAAAAAAAAAGGGCAGGCCAAAAATTAAAAAAAAAAAAATGTCAAAGTAGGGAATGGGGCAGGGAGGCCAGGCTTTCACAGTCAGCAAAGTGGAAATTTCCAAAAAGAAGATGTGATCTGGGGTTATCAGTCATCATTTATCTGCAGAAGAAACAAACTATGTTTGTAACAGGAGGCGGGGTGTAGGTTAGAGCGAGGTGCCCACTGGACTGGGAACAAG